TGCAGAGAATGTGCAAGGCCACGGGTTCTATCCCCGGGTGCCCACCAGATCTCCTTCATAAGTGAAATCACATGTTCCTCCATGAAGGCCATGGGTTCTATCCCCGGGTGCCCGCCAGATCTCCTTCATAAGTGAAATCACATGTTCCTCTACAGAGGTCACAAAGAGATTTCCCTCGAAGGACAAATTTCTTCTCCTTTCTAAATGATATTTAATTGTTCAAAATGTGGTTAAATGGAAATGGAGGGAACACTGCAGATTTCCTCTTGTTCGGTTTAGTGTTACATCAACTGCACGTGCTTGCTCCCCCAGAGCATACCTGCTACATTTGTACCCTGTATTGTCAGTGACAGAACATTTATTCATTGTGTGTGTGTGCTTCTTTTCTTTTTTATTAAGCTCTACATTTTTCTCTGTTCCCCTCCCTGCCTCTCCCCTTCCCTTCAACCCTCTCTCATGGTCCCCATGCTCCCAATTTACTCAGGAGATCTTGTCTTTTTCTACTTCCCGTGTAGATTAAATCCATGTATGTCTCTCTTAGGGTCTTCATTGCTGTCTATGTTTTCTGGGATTGTGATTTGTGGTTTTCTTTGCTTTATGTTTAAAAACCACGTATGAGTGAGTACATATGATAATTATCTTTCTGGGTCTGGGTTACCTCACTCAGTATGATGTTTTCTAGCTCCATCCATTTGTCCTGAAAATTTCAAGATGTCTTTTTTTTTTTTTTTTTTTTTTGCTGTGTAGCACTCTATTGTGTAAATGTATCATATTTTCCTTATCCATTCTTTGGTCGAAGGGCATTTAGGTTGTTTCCAGGTTCTGGCTATGACAAAGCTGCTATGAACATAGTTGAGCACATATCCTTGTGACATGATTGAGCATCCTTTGGATATATACCCAAAAGTAGTATTACTGGGTCTTGAGGAAGGTTGTTTCCTAATAGTCTGAGAAATTGCCATAATGATATCCAAAGGGGCTGTACCAGCTTGCATTTTCACCAGCAACGCAGGAGTGTTCCCTTCACTTCACAACATCTCCAGCATAAGTTGTCATCAGTGTTTTTGATCTTGGCCATTCTTGCAGGTGTAAGATGGAATCTCAGAGTTGTTTTGATTTGTATTTCTCTGATGACTAAGGATGTTGAACATTTCCTTAAATGTCTCTCAGCCATTTTAGATTCCTCTGTTGAGAGTTCTCTGTTTAGCTGTGTATCCCATTTTTTATTGGATCATGTGTTCTTTTGATGACCAATTTCTTGAGTCCTTTGTATATTTTGGAGATCAGACCTCTGTCTGATGTGGGTTAGTGAAGATCTTTTCCCATTTTGTAGGCTGTCGTTTTGTCTTGTTGACCATGTCCTTTGCTTCACAGAAGCTTCTCAGTTTCAGGAGGTCCCATTTATTAATTGTTTCTCTCAGTGTTGGTGCTACTGGGTTTATATTTAGGAAGTGGTTTCCTGTGCCAATGCTTTCAAGTATACTTCCCAGTTTCTCTTCTGTGAGATTCAGTGTGGTTGGCTTTATGTTGAGGTCTTTGATCCATTTGAACTTGAGTTTTGTGCATGGTGATAGATGTGGATCTGTTTTCATTCTTCTACATGTTGATATCCAGCTATGCCAGCACCATTTGTTAACCATGCTTTCTTTTTTTCCATTTGATATTTTTGCTTCTTTGTCAAAAAATCAGGTATTTGTAGGTGTGTGGATTGATATTTGGGTCTTTGATTCGGTTCCTTTGGTCCTCCTGTCAGTTTTTATGCCAATACCATGCTGTTTTCAGTACTGTAGCTCTATAGTGGAGTTGTAAGTCAAGGATTGTGATGCCTCCAGAAATTCTTTTATTGTACAGGATTGGGTTTTTGGGTTTTTTTTTTTTGGCTATTATGGGATTTTTGTCCTTCCATATGAAGTTGGGTACAGTTCTTTCAATGTCTGAGAAGAATTTTGCTGGGATTTTGATGGGCCTTGCATTAAATCTGTAGATTTCTTTTGGTAAGATTGCAATTTTTACTATGTTAATTGTACCTACCCGAGAGCATGGGAGATCTTTCCACTTTCTGGTGTCCTCTTTAATTTCTTTCTTCAAAGATTTAAAGTTCTTGTCATGTAGGTCTTCTGTTTGTTTGGTCAGAGTTTCTCTGAGATATTTTGTGCTATGTGTGGCTATTGTGAAGGGTGATGTTCTCTGATTTCTTTCTCAGCCCTTCTATCACCTGTGTACAGGAGGGCTATATACAAAGAACTTTTAAGGAATGAATTTGTTTCCGTCTCATTCTGTCCTTACCTTTCAGTCTGTCATGTCTTCCAGGGTGCTAATTTATGTCTTAAGTGGAAGAAGGATGCCGTGTTTTACAACAGCTTTCCAGAGCTGACTTGATAGACGAAGCTAAGTTCCGTTCAGTTGTTAGAGATAAAGCTGTAGCGATGCACATTTGCAATCCCAGAAGTCCAGAGGTGGAGGCAGGAGGATTATGGTGAGTTTGAGGTTAGCCTGGGCTACATCATGAGACCCTGTTTCAAAAAAACAAAACCCAGAAATGCTTTTCAGGCTAATTCACTCTCTCGTCGTTTCCTCTGTGTGCTTGGAGCTAAGTGCTTGTTATAAATGCAGACAGATGCTAGAGGTACTCAGAGATGCGCTAGAAGCTTGAGAATTGAGAGACACTTGAGTAACGTATGAATATAGGGGGAGAAGAAAGAAAGGTATTGTATGTAGGGGCACAGTATGAGCCGCAGAGTGTGCTGGGAGTTTTGAGGCCCACACCTAGTCAGCAGACATCATAATGCCGGTGTGAGCCATAGGATGTGATCCAGCCGAGTGGGAGACTGATTCCAGGCTGCTTGATTTCTGATAACAAGCAGACGGTGAAGAGTTGGAAGTTTGGGGCCTTGTGGTCATGAAGAGTATGTTTTAAGGAATTTAATATAATAAATTGCAGAATAGATCGGAAGACAAAAGACAGGCTGGGTCTAAGACAGTAGGAATTCAGCCCAAAAGTAGTGAGCAGAGCAAAGTCACTGAAAAGCTGGAAGTAACTTTGTGAGTTGAGTCAGGATCTCTGGGAAAGTGAGAAACTCTGAACAACATGGAAAGTTCTTTTTCCTTTTTCTTTTTTTTAAAAATTTTTTCGAGGCAGGGTTTCTCTATGTATTTCCGGCTGTCCTGGAACTTGCTCTTGTAGACTAGGCTGGCCTTGAACTCACAGAGATCTTCCTGTCTCTGTCCCCCAAGTGCTGGGATTAAAGACGTGCACCACCACTACCTGGCAGAAATTCTTCTTTTTGTAAAATAAAGAGCTGGGCAGTGGAGGCAGAGGCAGGTGAATCTCTTTGATTTTGAGGCCAGTCTGGTCCACAGAGTGGGTTCTAGGATAGCCAGATCTACACTGAGAAACCCTGTCTTGAAAAACAAACAAACAACAAAAACAAAAACGCAAAGGACAGAAATCAATAACAAATAGAAATTAGGAAATAAGTTTGATGAGGGTGAATTTTATTATTTTTGGTTCTATCTGTCAAACTTGGTCTTCATGTATACCGTGCATGTGTTCTGCCACTGAACTAAATCCCAGTTTCTGGGTTATTGAATTTTTTTAAAGATTGATTTATTTTTTAATATTTCATATGTATGATGTTTTGCCTGTATGCATGTCGGTACACAGTGTGCATGCAGTGCCTGAGGGGGCCTGAAGAGGGCATTGGATGCTCTACATCTGATCCCTTGGAACTGGAGTTACAGATAGTTGTGAGCAGCCATGTAAGCGCTGGGAACTGAACCTGGGTCCTCTGGGAGAACAGTACACACTCTTAACCACCGAGCCATCTTTCCAGCTCCAATGTCAAAAGTTTTATTTAACTATTTTTCTAGAGTGGTTAATAGAAATCACATCATAATTTTTATATTTATTTTTTTCAGGACAGAGTTTCTCTGTGTAGCCTTGGCTGTCCTGGAACTCACTCTGTAGACGAGGCTGGCCTCAAACTCCAGTAGATCCACCTGTCTCTGCTTCCTTGAGTGCTGGGATTAAAAGCATGTGCCACTACTACTTGGCTACTTCATAATTTTTGTAAAAAAAACATCTGAAAACTAATGGCTTAGAGCAATTAATATCATAATTGTTAGGCCTAGTAATGCTACTGGATTTTCTAATACAGTTGAAATACTAAGTAATGGTTAATTGCCTAATAATGTAGAAAACTCAGTTTCTGAATTTCCAAAATTCCTGAAATAATCAGTAGTTGTTTTAAGTTTTGTGGTTATAGATTTATAGCGAGGTGGGACTTGTTCTGGCCCAACATGCTCTGGTGTGCTGGGTGGTATTCCCAATCTCAGATCGCGTGTCCACGCTAAGGTGCAGAGTCCCATGGGGTTGCTGCATGGCTCTTGTCGGCATTTAGTGAACAGTTTGTTTCCAAGTGTAATATCTAATTCTTTATGTTTCTTGAAATTTATATTCTTATCTGCCCCTTAAGAAAAATATTTATCTTCACTCTGTCTAAAGCAAAAAAGCAGTTAGAAATTAAGAGCATAGCTGCACAAGACGTTGACATCACCAAGTGCTTTGACCAAGCCCTCCGCCATCTCGCATGGGAATCCAGCGTCCATGAGGTGTGAAGTCTGAAGGGTTCTCAATGGATGTTTCACCATTTCATTAGTTTCACAGTTAAACAGATCTCAGTTTCAGCTAGGCCGTCTTCCTTTGTGGATGTTCAGGGAAATGACAGGTTTATCTGCAGCTGCTATCTCTACAGGTTTCTGACCTGGCTCAAGTCAGTTTGGTCTGAGAACTGAACCTCATTCTTTCCCTGGGCCTGTTGCTTTGTTAACGTGTGGGCCTCCGAACTAACATCTGGTGGAACTGTGTGAGGAATGTGTTGGTTGTAGTTGTTGGGAGAGGGCTGGGTGATTGTCATAATTTCTGCTGGTAGACTTTCTGAAAGAAAAATCAAGTCCGCTCCTTTTGTTGGAAAGAGATTTCATGTTATCTGTGTTTGCAGGCTTTCTGGCTCACATGCTGGAGGAATCCTTGCTGCGGGGGTGTTTTCATTTTCTCGCCTAACATGGCAGTGGTCCATTGCAGCTGAGGTTTTCAGCTTAAACAATCTGTTTGTGGGGCTGCTCATGGCGCTTACTGTGTGTTTTGAGGAGGCAGCCGCCGCAAAGGAGAGATCAAAGGTAAGCTATTTTGATCAAAGTGAAATCAGTTTTGTTTCAATTTTTAGACAGAAATGTATTTCTTTTTAACTTTGGTTTGGCCCACATTTTCTATTCTGATTCCTATTAGGGTAATCTGGGCAGGTGGAGAGACTGTCCTCAGACCCTTTGTTAGAAATGGAACTTCCCCCCTCAGGAGTTCAGAAAGTTTTGGAGAATGGGTATTATAAAATATCTAGCGAGTCCTGAGGGAGGAATGGGTTTGGTTCATACGTGTGTGTGTGTGTGTGTGTGTGTGTGTGTGTGTGTGTGTGTACACGCATGCATGTTGTGAGACCAACCCGCAGGTGGACCACCTTAAGGAATGTACTATGATAGTACGCTGATTCTTCGCTAGTCACATGGAAGAACACAGTTATAAATTATTTTTACCCAGAAGAACATCAGATGTGAAAACCAGGTCGTTCAGAGAGGACCAGCACCATGGTCATGTACAGTGTGAACGAGCCTTGTCTTCTAAGCACTTAGTCCTACACCTTGCGGGGTTGCATCATCCCAGTTCAGAAACAAAAGATACCGTGCTTTTTCTGTGGTTCCCGTAAGTCCCCAATGCTGTTAGAGTGTTTGGTTTAAAACAACCTTCTTTTCTGATTGTGCTAATGAAAAACATGTGCTATATACATGCCATCTCCTTGCTAAGGGGTGTAAGCAGGCTTTCTTGGATTCAGCTATAGGGACCATGGTAGCAAACTTAACTCCAAATATAAAGAAAAGTAGGAATTTCTAACCAAAGATCTGGCAGGGAATCAGTGAAAGATACAGATAGAGGGGATTTTGGGCCAAACCAAGTTCGCAAGATTCTTGGGAGGGAGCAGGCCCCGATGAGATTTGGAGTGTGATGGGTGTGTAAGTGGGCGTTCAAGATCTGTGCTGCAAAGTGGACAGTGGAGAAGAGCTCGAAGGGGCCTGCCTGCAGTGTGCTCAAGGAGAGGATCCTAATCAGTTATGAAACAACTGCATGTTCCATAACAACGAAAAGCCCCTCTGAGAGAAGCAGAGTTCTAAATAAAGTTTTATTTACCAAGCAGGAAAAGAAGTAAAGCAGAATTACTGAGCGTTGGTGACAGACTTCAGCTAGGAATTACATAGTATCCCGTCATTGTGGGGGCTCCCAGGAGTCAGTGTGAAGGTGGTCTTCGGGTCAGAACAGGGTTTTGTGAGAATGGAGAGAAATTACCCAGCACACTGCTGACCAGTTGATGAGACGCTTTGCATCTTGGGGCTTGCTTGGCTCTCGTTGCCTGGCACACAGAAGCTTTGCAGGTGCATGGGGACTTTTACTGCTGTGTTGAGTTCTAGGGGATGTTCTGACTAGTGTTTCTTTTCTCGTTCTCAGATAGCAGTTGTTGGTGCTTTCTCCTGTGGCCTTAGCTTGTGTAACCAGCACACAATCGTACTCTATGTTTTATGCATAATACCCTGGATTCTCTTCCGACTTCTGAAAGAGAAGGTAGGTTTTTTCTTTTATTAAAAAAATTAAAATTCATACTATTTCATATAGGTCCAATTCAGCATTTGTGTTATCTGAAAAATTAGGGCTTTAATGTTTCTTGAGTTTTATGTAACACATAAATGACCTGGGGCTTTAACGATATTGACTTTAAAAAGAGGATTTACACAATTATGCAATATTGATTGTGGTGGCATCTGGCCGACTTCATGATTTTCCTCATGATTCTTGACAGCACCTCAGTGAGGAGAAACAGAAGGGACTGAGAGCAGCAATATCAAGGTTTCTAACTGGTTTTCTTGTATGCACGTCCTAAAATTCTAGGCAGTCAGGCACCGGCTCTTCATTCTTCCAGTGCCGTCTGTGTGCCCGCTTGCTCCAGGTGCTGGAGCTGGAGACACAGCAGCGTTGCTGATGTGAACTCACTGAAGTCAGAAGTGATAGTCTGTCTCCTCAGAGCCCGCAGAATTCCTCCTTATAATTGAAAACTGCTCATTTCCCTTTTATCTTTCTCTGAAAGAAAACATTGTTGTTAATTAACATGGCAGAGAGAACAATGCAGACTTTTCTTTGTTAGAGGCTGGGAGATCCAGGCAGGAGAAGGCAGGGAGTGAGTCCGTAGTGACCTGTGGGCAGGAAGCAAATGTCCTGAGTCCTGTGTGAGCTCCTCCAGAACCGCGGCCATTTGTAAAGCAGTGCTGGGCGCTCACTGTACTTGTTGTTTCTCTGTCAACAAACTCAGTGACATTTACCTCGCATTATCTGTTAATTATACCAACTACAATTGGAATTATAATGGAAAACACATAAAGCATATAATAAAATTATTAGGAAATAAGTATACTAAAGCTTTAAATAATTATATTTACTATACTTTAGCACATCTTGCTAACAAAGCAAAAGAGGGTACTGTGGAGATTATAAAATTCTTATTATGTGATTATAAAAAGGAAACAATAGTGGCCAAAAGGAACTTTCTCTTAGAATTTAGTCCAGTGACGACAATCATATAAGTCCTCACATGGGGGATGCTAAACAGCTTAACCAAAACTTTTTAGACTGTTCTTTATTGATGTTTGGCTCTTTAACCCAAGGTTTCCGTGCTAACAGTGTGGTTTAATAGCGTATACAGAAGCTCTTTGTGTAAGTCTTGGATAATAGATGAAGACATGTCTAGATGTGGTGGTACATAACTGTAACCCCGGCATGCAGGAGTCACAAGCAGAAGGTCTGGAGTTTGAGGCCAATCTAGGCTACACAGGGAGTTTAAAGGCAGCCAGGTTTCTGTCTCAAAATATATGAATTTAGGGCAAACCGTTAACATTAAAGACTATAATTCAATAACGGGTTTTCTATGGGATATAAACTGAGGCAGCACATCTGCTTTTCCTGAGTCGGTGGGGACCTGGAGGGGTGGACAGGCAGCCCTGCCTGCTCTAGTTTCAGACTTCTGACCTCAGCAGAGTAGGTTTAGTTTATGGGAAGCACCTGCTGGTTGATTGGAAGACAAGCCATATAAGTTGGGTGAAGTGTTTAGGACTCAAGGTTAACACTGTAGAGCCTGGGCTAAGGACTATTGCTCTGTCCTGGGGTAGGCTACTGATGAGTGCTTGGACTTGGGCAGTGTGACTCTTCAACGTGGCTCTTTCAATTCCATTAACTAGCAGAAGGGAAGTCAAGGGATCCTGGGTAGTAATTTGTGTGTGCTTGTGTGTGTTTCTACAGGTTTACGTAGGTATATGTATATGTGTGCATTTATACTGAAACCCAATCCCACCATCAAACCATTCTATATTTGTGAAGGGAGAAGTCCCTGTCAGGTGATCACAGTGTACAGCCAGGACAGGGAAGCTCTGCCCATCCATCTGTGACAACCCTCATGTAGTTGTCCCTGGCTACTTCTTATACAAAAGGAAAACAATATAATAACTGTTTTTGTTGCAATTCTAAATTCAACTTTATAATGCGCAGTGCCTCCAAAACTGCAAACATCCACTTGCCTAGCCCCACTTTTAAAAAGAGCAGCTACTGCTGTCAGATGACTGCTCTGCTGTTCTCATGCCGTGACTTTTGTGTGTCTCGTTTCCGCTGGAGAAGTCACAAGTGAGATTAGTGCTATAAGAAAACGCTTCCTTTTCAATTAAGAATGTTTGTATTAAAATGCAAAGAGAAGTTGGCTGCTTGTTCTACGATATCTGCCGGTTGAGTCCTGGCTCTTATATTCATTCCCACAGATAAATTTCTCATTTTATAAGGGAAAAGGGTGGAAGTTTTCAGTTCTGGTATTTATAAGAGATCCCCTTTCCCAGTTATTAAAGCAAACAAGGCTTGAATGTTTCTAGAATGCCGAAATTCATATTGTTTGGACTTAATCTTTGTAATTGTTTTCATACTGTTTTGTTTTAGACATGCACAGGTGAGGGTTCCTCCGGTGGAGCACGGGAAACAACATGGGTTACACGGAACAACAAATTCCTTTTGTGTTCCATTAAACATAGGGGAGAGAAATGGGGATAAAAGCTAGCTTTGTCTACACCAAACGCTTCTGTGAAATGTCCAAAGCTCTGGAAAGAATTACGTCATCACTGTGTAATGAAGTTTACAGTTAAAGTCACTTCTGATGATGAAGATGAATTAGCATAAGATAGTATTGGGGCCAGATAGCATACAGTCACTTCCAAGTGGTTCATCTCAACAGTGTCATGCTGCATGGCGTGGTTTAAATGGAAAAGATGCAGCACACTGATACTTAGTCCTTGTGATATTTGCTCCACTCTGGTTTGCCATGAAAAGGAATCGAGACTGATGCAATTTTCTAGTAATCCTCAGTAATCAGAAGGTTTAGCATAGTGTTGTTCTGTGGTGACAATATAAATCGAGAGATCAGCTTTAAGCAAACACAGTTGACGTTTTTCCTGATGTGGTTTTGAAGTTCAGGACAAATGGACGGAAATAAACATGCCCCACTGTGTGCTTCTGTGCAGGAGCTGGCCGTTAGCTCTCTGTTGAGGCTGGCTCTGGCCTTCTCTGCCGGCCTGCTGCCCTATGTCTACCTGCCTGTGTCATCCTACCTCAATCGCGCCCGCTGGACCTGGGGGGACCAGACGACACTGCGGGGCTTCCTGACACATTTCCTCCGGGAGGAGTATGGAACATTCAGTCTGGTAAGCTCACGATTAAGCCGGCCCAGGAAACAAGTGGTGCAGCTGTGTTTGGTCTGCACCTTGACTAAAAGAGCAGTGCATAGGATTGTTAGTCCCTTGGAATGTGACTCTTCACCTGTGCTGCTCACCTGTGCTGCTCACCTGTGCTGCTCACCTGTGCTGCTCACCTGTGCTGTTCACCTGTGCTGCTCACCTGTGCTGCTCACTGTGGTGACAGTCCCCCGACACATGCTCTGTTTAGTTTTTAACTCTATGAGTCAGTGTCTTACTCCGTAGCATAGGCTCGCTTCCAGCTTACCATCTCTGTGCCGCCACTTCCCGTGCTGAAGTTATCATTGTGTACCGCCCTTGGACTTAGCCTTTCCTTCTCATTTATTTATAATTCTATTTTTAAAAATTTGGGGGCCTTTTTATGTGCATGGGAGTTTTGCCTTAATGTATTTCTGTCCACCATGTGTGTTTACTGCCCATGGAGACCAGAAGAGGATGCTGGGTCTCCTGGCTCCAGAGTTGCATGTGAACCACCATGTGGAAGCTGGGAGTCTTAAACAATGAGCCATTTTCTCCAGCCCCAAGATGTCCTTTCCTTGATGAATAGAATTCATGTTACTGCTTAGTGTTAAATGGAAAAGCAGTCTGTAAGATTCATTAGAGGAAGGTACGTTTCCGAAGTTAGAGGCAGTGTTCTTTAGAGTTCAGCAGGCCTGCTTTCCCTGAGGCATGGAGGGAAAAGTCATTGTAATTGCAAAAGGATACAGGAAAGGGGAAATGAAGATATATTTTAATATAGACAGTGGTGTTGGGGTTTCCTCAGATGCTTGTATTCTGTGTTTTGTTTATGAAAGTAAATTTCAGAAGACTCCGTAGTGATACCATTGACAAACTTCCAAATCTCTCAGAAGTTGACCTTACTGTTCGAGGCCACATACAAGAGTAGGGAAGCTTTTTCTGAACTGTGGAAGTGCGGCCAGGCAAGATGGCATAGGAGGTCACAAGTTCCAGGCCAGATGTCTGTCGTGAGACCTCTGAGTCTACAAGTAAACACATATGAAGTGGGTAGTAATTCAGGAAGGAGGGACCTGCAAGAGTTTGTGATATTCCTGATTGTACTGATGAGGTTTTGTTTCTTTGTATCTTTGTCATTTGTTTGCTTTTAAAGAGAGATGCCTGTTTGGGCAGAAACTTCACCCAGCCCCTGAGTTGCCTCAGTCCAGACTCCACCTCCGAGAAAGCCCAACGATGACCCCCCCCCCCTGCCCCGCACCCCAGAGATGCTCAAGACCACTCCCACAGGCTATTTAAACTGCCTCCCAGAGAATAAACATGTGATTTTCCGGTCTTCCTTCCCTGGCTCCTCTCTAGGGGGCTGGAAGGCCACCCAGAAGTGTTGCTATCCATTACCTGGGCTTTTTCTAATTCCATTTGATTTGGTCTGATTTGGATTATTGCATTGGCAGAGAGTTTTATCAGGGTGCAAAACTTTTCATCAGCTCAGTGATTAAGAACACTCCCTGATCTTCCAAAGGTCCTGAGTTCAATTCCCAGCAACCTTATGGTGGCTCACAACCATCTGTAATGAGATTTGGTGCCCTTTAGAGAAAGAGACCTGGTCAGTCATCCTCATCAACTTAGACCATGAAACCCAATATGGACAAGTTCAACAGAACTGCCATGTACAGGCTGCCCTTGCATGCTTCAGCACTGCCAGGACATAAATTTCAAAGTTTTAAAATTCTCCCTGTGTAGCCCAGGCTGTCCTAGAACTCCCAGTGCTGGTTTTAAAGCCTCATAACAAGCTAGGTTTTGTTTCCTGAATGGTTAACCTGAAGATTTATTTCTTTATCCTTTAAGTATTCATTTTGTGTGTGTGTGTGTGTGTGTGTACATATATATGATATCTAGGAAATACTTCATTATAGAAGAGATTAATAAAAAAGAATAATTGTAGCTGGGCGGTGGTGGCGCACGCCTTTAATCCCAGCACTCGGGAGGCAGAGGCAGGCGGATCTCTGTGAGTTCGAGGCCAGCCTGGTCTACAAGAGCTAGTTCCAGGACAGGAACCAAAAAAGCTACGGAGAAATCCTGTCTCGGAAAAATAAAAAAAAAAGAATAATTGTTAATTACTACTTGATGTAGAGAGTTGGTTTAATCTGTAAAATGTAGATTGAAGCTAACAAGCTGGCCCAGCAGATGAGGGAGTTTGCTGCCAATCCTGTTGATCTGAGTTCAACCCCTAGAACCCACATCCACATGATAGACTCCCATCGGTTGTCCTCTGACGTCCACACGCAAGCCATTGTGTAATACGCGTGCACAGACACGTGATAGATGTATGCAAAAAGCTTTTCGTTTTTTAGCAGCAGATGCTTCATTTGAATTCAGGTCTTCTGCTTGCTCCGAGTTGACTTTTTAAGAAGTGTAGCCGGGCGGTGGTGGCGCACGCCTTTAATCCCAGCACTTGGGAGGCAGAAGCAGGCGGATCTCTGTGAGTTCGAAACCAGCCTGGTCTACAAGAGCTAGTTCCAGGACAGGCTCCAAAACCACAGAGAAACCCTGTCTCGAAAAACCAAAAAAAAAAAAAAAAAAAAAAAAAAAAAAGAAGTGTAGGTTGAGGGTACTCTCGGATTTAAGATTGTATCATCACACAGTGCTGAGAACTGGGGCTGTCAGGCCCTCATTACAGCCCTAAGAGCAGGAAGACTGCCGCAGACATGTAACAGTGAGGTCTCTGCCTGACGGCATTCCTTCAGCAACAGCTGAACTGAGTTCTAGCCAGTTCTAAAGTTTTTTAAGGTGCCCAAGATTAGTTTTCACTGGTTCTGAACTTCAGCGAAGCTTCAAAGACTGAGTAAGGAAAAACATTGGGTTGTATATTTAAAATATGAAGCTCATTAAAAGTGCAGTCATCTGACAAAGAAGCTTTGGTTTAATGCTTGTACAAATGAACGTTTCTGTTTTTTAGGCCAAATCTGAAATAGGATCCAGTGTATCTACAATACTACTGTGAGTATGGTTTTAAAACTATCATAAGTCAATTTTCTGTTATCTATTTGGGGAGGTTTCTTATTAGTTCCTTTCTTTATTAAGAAGTATGTCCGAGAAGTAGTTTTCACCTCCACGATTTATTGCAGTGTGGGAGGCCAGTGGGAGACTGGCCAGGACCGAAAACCACATGTCCCACCTGCGTGCAAGATGCCCATATGGGGTTGGGTTGACAGTGACTTCCTCTTCCCTGTGGCTTTCCTGTTACCTGTCTCTTAGGGTCGTTTGGAAGGTTGCATTCATCACGATTTGAATACTTTTCTTATTATTTTGGCTTGAATTCTTATTTAATCCTTTAGAGCTGAATATATATAATCTCTTATAACTTTCTTTTGGCTGTCATAAGCTGTATTTTTGACTTTCATATTTTAATATCTAACCTTATTAGAGGCAGCTTAAGCAAATATATGTCATATGTATTAACCAATGGTTTTCTTTGAAGAATGGATTAATGTTTGCTTTAAAACCTATAGAGATTAAAGCTCTTGAAAACTATCCATGTCAACTTTAAAAATTATCAATACCAATTATAATTCTTCGAATAATGAAATTTTAGGATACAAGTTTTTTATAATATTGATGTGATTTTTTTAGTTTCTGCTTTGGAACACTCTGGACTGTGTACAAGAAAAATCTATCTCTATCTATCTATCTGTCTGTCTGTCTGTCTATCATCCATCTATCTCTTATCTGTCTGTCTGTCAATCCATCCGTCAGTCTGTCTTAAACAAGGACTAGCTTTATAGCGCAAGCTAGCCTGTAACAGGAAATCCTTCTGCCTCAGCTAGAATAAAGTATATGTGCCCCCCATTGTCAGTGATTATCAACAGATTCCTCTCTCCCTTTATTTTTTAGAATTAGGGTCTTAGTATGTAACTCAAACTGGCCCTTGAACTCACAGTTCTCCTGTCTCAGCCTCCAATGTGCTGGTTAACTACAATACTTAATAGTTTTCCTTTGTTTTTAATTTTTTTTCACTATTCCAAAATAGGATATATAATCATAGAAATTTTTGGAATACAAGTAAACCAAAACAAGAAAATTAAAATGACGTTTAATTTCTTTTTAAATTGATTTTTATTGAGCTCTACATTTTTCTCTGCTCCCTTTCCTGCCTCTCCCCTTCCCTTCAATCCTCTCCCATGGTCCCCATGCTCCCAGTTTACTCAGAAGATCTTGTCTTTTTCTACTTCCCATGTAGATTAGATCCATGTATATGACCTTTAATTTCAACATGCAAGGATAATAACTGTTACCGGTATGTTAATATTTTATTGATATTTTTGCAGTCTTTTATAATTTGTTTTTTTAAAGTGGATTCATAAGAAACATATACTTTTGTTACTCTATTTTCAGTTCAGAGCAGATCTTGAAAATATGTCTGTGCTATCATTAGTTTTCTCTCAACTGAATTACAATATTTCTTTGAATGTTTGACACAACTTATACAGTACTTTCTTATGGAGAGGTAGAGAAGGGGGAAAGGGGGAGGAGGAGAAGGAGGAGGAGGAGAAGGGAGAGAAGGTGAGAAGGAGCCTATTTCCTCTTTAGACAGATTACCAGTGCCTCTAAGTCAGCTCAAGTAGACTCCTTGCTCCTCTCAGCCTTCCCTGGATTGCTGCTGTGTTTGACCTCAGTTCTCACATGAACTCCAGTGAACTCTGAAGCACATATGCAGCTTATACAAGTCACACATAATAGGTTCCTCTTTCGGACTTACTAAAGACGAGCTGTGAGACGTCCTGTGCAGAACAAAGACTGCTCAGAAAATGAGTGGTCACATCCATACCCTGAGCCAATCACCATGCGTGCTGGAGACAGTTCTCACACTGAGGGAAATAATTCCTGGAGTGAGCTGTGTCGGGTGGATAAGTCGTTGAAAAAGGAGAGGAATAATCAACTACAAGAGCGGCCTTCACAGTGATGGAACGTTGTCATCGACCCTTTTCCAGTCAAGCAAATTTAAGTCTTTACCCATGAATACCTGTAAATTGCAATCCTGTACAGGAAATTACTGAACCTAACCTAACTCTGACATTGTTTAGAGTTTACATTTAAGCAATAGATGTCTAAGAATTCATTTTGAATCTGACTTTATTTCTTTTGAAGAAATGGGCCTCATTCTAGAATCCATTTATTTTTCAAGTGTATTTATAAATGAGTGAGGGTAGATTGTCATAGTAGATGTGTCTCCGTGAGTAAAATACTCATTGTATAGCTTCCATAATTATGGCTTGACATTTTATCCAGGAAAATCGCCAGTAGGGAGAACAATGTCTCCTTAGTTTGTAGATGTGTTTCTTGGTGTAGAGATTAAATAGTGTGGCAGTTTTAGGACTCACATAGCACTTGAAAGTGCTCATTGGTTAATGGAAGGATTTAGCACAATTATACAAAATAAGATGAACACTTTTCTCTGAGATTCTTAACCACTTTCCAAAACAAATAATGTGGAAAATGAGGAAGCTGCTTAAGGAAGAAGATAACCCGGAAAGAATGGCACAATCCCTCCTCTTGGCCTTTTTCCCTTTTATAATTGGATCTTCAGAATTTTATTTGAATGGTTAAGTCACCAGTGGCTGTGTCTGTACTAGCAAGAGAAACTCTGAAGTTCCCTTCAAAATCACTCTCTTCTGAGCCGTTCAGAAGATCCTATGCTCTAAACTACTTTCAATCCTAAATTCTATGTGCTGAAAACCAAATACCGCAATCAGAAAATGTCTTAGAACTGGTTGACTTTTTCAGTGATACTTCTCAACCCCTTTCAAAATTTGAAGGAAGAAAAAATAATTTTAAAATATGACCACAGTCCTTAGAGTGGTTGTGTGTATAATTGCATATTTTATTGATAATATACTTTTGTGAAATTTACTGAACTACTTTTATGCCAACAATAAAGTACTTTGTTTTCTGGCTTTTTGTTTTTCAGTTCACAAATAATAAACATGAAGACCGAACTTTCATTTAACATCCAAGCTCTTGCAGTTTGGGCAAATATATGTTTAACTAGAAAGTGAGTAATGTTCCCTTTGCTCCTGTGCGTCCCGTGTTCTCATGTTGAACCTGTGTCTTATATGTTACTGTAGAGTGCTACCAGTATTGTCTTACATTTAGAATAACTCCTAACCATTTCTGCTTTCGTTAGGGTTTCTACTGCTGTGAAGGGACACCATGACCACAGTAACTCCTATAAAGGAGAGCATTTAGTCCGGGTAGCTTACGGTTTCAGAGGTTTTTCCATTGTCACCATGGTGGAACATGGCATGTGGTGAAGTAATAAGGGCGGCGGAGGGGCTGCGTCCCCAACACCTCAGCTGCCTGCCCGGCTAGCTTATGCCCCGAAATAATTACACGGACACTGTATTCCTCCAAACACTGCCTGGCCCATTCTCTTCTAGGCTAATTCTCACATATTAATTTAGCCCACCTCTAATCATCTGTATGTAGCACCCCAAGGTGTGCTTACCGGGGAGATTCCAGCCTAGTCCATCCTGGGTCGGAGCTTCATCCCGGGAGCGGGGAGCGGGGCATGGCGTCTCTCTCTGAGGCGTCTGCTCCCAAGAGAGCTGTGGAGTCTCTGAGCTCACTTCCTCTTCCTCCCAGCGTTCTGTTCTGTTTACTCCTCCCACCTATCCTCTAACCAATAAAATGGGCCAGGGCAGTGCCTTTATTAGCCAATGACCTTCCTCCATCATTTCCCCTTTTTCGGTTTAAACAAAAAAAAAGGCTTTAACATAGCAAAATTACATATAATAAAACAGTTATCAAGTAAAAGTTACAATAATCTTTATCATAACTAAGGAAAACTATAACTATAACTAACTATTCTTAACTCCATCAAAGACTCAAGAAAGATATAATATTACCTAAGTAAACAAGAACTAAGAAACTTCAAACTCTAGAAATGACAAAGACATCTCGCTGCCTGGACAGTCACCCAAAGTTCTTTTGTACCGTTGGGGCATCCATCTTCAGCCTTCAGGCCCATGGTATCCAGCAGACATTTCCATAAAGCAGGAAAATTCAAAGTCAGTTCAGTCACTATCTGTTGTGTCCTGCAGAATGTCTCGCAGACTCTTTCAAAATGAATCAGGAACCCTGAAAGATCATCTCACCTTAGGCAAGTTCAGTGGTCCTCTCTCTGCAGGTTCTCTGTGTCCAGTTTATGCAATAGTCCAGGCAAGAGCAGTTTCTTGCCCAAATGGCTATCAAAACTCCATAACGAGCCTCTTCGATGCCCATCTTCCTCTTGAAGTGGATTGGTGCTGCCAGGAGCAGAGTGTCTCATTGTTATGAAAAGTCCTCAGTTATTAAAACATTAAATGTCCTATTCTGTAATCTTTGAAAGACATGAAGAATGTCTATCTAAAATATATCTCTATATATCTAGAAAATCTAACTAACATGACTACAAGCTTTACTATTATCGATGATTGTCCATTAACAACCTATATTTCTTAATTATACAGTACATATTTAAATGAACTACACAATCACAATACCTTAATCAAAATCAGAAACACTTATACCTATAACAAAATTGACCTTAAATCTCTCTCAATAAAGCAAAATCTATACTAATGTAAATTATTCATATCTATATCATATCCCCCTTTAAATGTAAAAGGACGTTTATAAACCATATTTGGGAACATGGACGCAGTTTTTTCTCTCCAAACTGCTTCCTGCTGAATGGGGGCTTCGTTAATTAGGTCTTTCATGGCATAACCTGTGTGCTAGTTTCATCTCAGTTGGCAGTTGAGCGAAGCAATTTTTTGAAGGCGTTCACACCAACCCTTCAGGAAGGCGTGGTCCATCATACCAAAACGGAATAGAAGAAATGAACAGCATCTCATCCTCTGTGAAAACAAAATAAGAAACTCCTTTCCAAAGCATCATGTCCTTAGATCCAAATTTCAAAGTCAAGGCATTTTCAAAATATCTATGTTGGATTAGTTCAGCAGCATTTATAAATAAATATCTTTTAGCAGCTGTTGCTCCTTCCTCAGCATTCAAACAATTCAAAGAGAGCATAATAGCATACAGTATCAAAATTCTCTGTTTATTTTCCATCTTTGTACAGCTTTGTTTTAACCTCTATTTCGTTTATTTTTACTTTTAACTTTTTGGTTTTTGAGACAGGTTCTCTGTATCTTTGACCTGAAGTAACTCTGTAGACCAGGCTGTCCTTGAGCTCTCAGAGATCCGCCTGTCTCTGCCTTCCAGGCATTGGGATTAAAGGTGTAAACTACTACACCTTGAACTCACAGAGATCTGTTTGCCTCTGCCTTCTAGGCACTGGGATTAAAGGAGTGTGCTACCACACACAACAACTCTCTTCCTTTTTTTTTTTAACTTTAAGAACTTTAAATTTTAGTCTGCATATATTTTTAACACACTTCAAACCATTTAGAAATTTTCTTTGTCTTTAAAGCTCTCTTTACTGTATATCTCTCTTTTTCTGACCACACGAGCCTTTAAATTACTGAGCAATATGGGTAGGATTAAAGGCGTGGCTTTGCCAGCTAGATCCAGTCCATTCCTTAGCTTTGCAGCCTCATGGCTGAGGTACCGGCCAGAGCCGCATTCAGTGCCACAAGACTACAGTGTTTCAATGTCCCTGTCAGCAGGTGAGCTTAAGCAGCCTGTACTTGCAAACTGCACGAACCGCCTGTGTAAAAGAGTCAGAGTTTGCCCTGGCAGGACAGCCCAGAAAGCCGGCATTTTTAAACGGCATAGCTTTTTTCCTGCTATGGCTGAAAACCGAATAGCATGTGTTCAGCTTTTCGTCAACACCGTTTAAGTGTTTCGTGGCAGGACCTCTTAATGAGCTGCAGGCTTTGCAGCTAAAGCTGAGTCAGGAAGCCTCTCTTAGATGAGGCACTTGCTTGCCTCTAGCAAGCAGAGTAGAACCGAGAAATTGCTGCTACCAAGAAACCAGGCACAATGCTTTCATTTTGTTCTAGAATTACTTCCCAAGCTGTCTCAGGCTTTATGTGGAAGCAGTTGCCCACGTGGGCGCCATATGAAGTAATAAGGGCGGCGGAGGGGCTGCGTCCCCAACACCCCAGCCGCCTGCCCGGCTAGCTTATGCCCCGAAATAATTACACGGACACTGTATTCCTCCAAACACTGCCTGGCCCATTCTCTTCTAGGCTAATTCTCACATATTAATTTAGCCCACCTCTAATCATCTGTATGTAGCACCCCAAGGTGTGCTTACCGGGGAGATTCCAGCCTAGTCCATCCTGGGTCGGAGCTTCATCCCGGGAGCGGGGAGCGGGGCATGGCGTCTCTCTCTGAGGCATCTGCTCCCGAGAGAGCTGTGGAGTCTCTGAGCTCACTTCCTCTTCCTCCCAGCGTTCTGTTCTGTTTACTCCTCCCACCTATCCTCTAACCAATAAAATGGGCCAGGGCAGTGCCTTTATTAGCCAATGACCTTCCTCCATCAATGTGGGCAGACACGGTGCTGGAGAATAGCTGAGAGTCCTACATCTTGATCCGAGGGCAGCAGGAATCTGTGCCACACTGGACGTAGCTTGAGCGTGAGAGATCTCAAAGCCCACCCCCACAGTGAACACCTACTGTGGCAAAGCCACACCTCCTACCAGTGCCTCTCCCTTTCCCGATCATTTTCTTTCAACCACCACAATTTTTGTTATGGCAAATGTCTTGTTTCTTGATGTCTTCTTTTATCTTATGATTACAAAGAAGTGACTTGAAAGATTGATCAATTGATCATCTCAAACCTTGGATTTGGTCCTTTACTCTGCCTGTAGCTAATTTTTAACTGTTGACTTGCAAAGGAACCCAACAACTATCTAATTTCTCCACTCGTTTAAAAAAAGAAAAGGCCTTCTTGTCAGGCCTGGTGGTGCATGACTGTAAGCTCAGCAGAACCTGAGGCAGAGCCGCCATGAGCTGAGGCCAGGTTATGTACTAAAACTGTTTATTCTTATTTATTTACTTTCTGTTCTGTTGGATGTATTAGTTTGTAAATACACATATATCTATAGTTCTATTTGCTTACAATTAACATTATGAAATAATGTTAACATTTTCCCATAATAAAAAAGCAGATTTTTTTAATGTTTATATAATATATTCTACCATGTCATCATGGGAAAATTAATTTTATGTCTCTTTTGTGTTGCTGAGGATTGAACCCAGGCATAGCAAGTCCACCACTGGCCTGAACTGTAGCTGAAGATGTACTGGGAAATTAAATGTTCTCCTGTTTGAGGGTCATTACAACTTTTCCACTGTTGTAAGTGGTCCTAAAGCATTCAAGGATTAATGTTGGTTTGCATTTCCAGTTATTGCTTGAAGATGTCTGTCTGGAGGCCAGAGTGTTGGGTTAGGGCTGTGTTAGGAACTGGTAGAGATAGTTCTGGGTTAGGGCTGTGTTAGGAACTGGTAGAGATAGTGCTGGGTTACGGCTGTGTTAGGGACTGGTAGAGATAGTGCTGGGTTAGGGCTGTGTTAGGAACTGGTAGAGATAGTGCTGGGTTAGGGCTGTGTTAGGGACTGGTAGAGATAGTGCTGGGTTAGGGCTGGGTTAGGAACTGGTAGAGATAGTGCTGGGTTAGGGCTGTGTTAGGAACTGGTAGAGATAGTGCTGGGTTAGGGCTGTGTTAGGAACTGGTAGAGATAGTGCTGGGTTACAGCTGGGTTAGGGACTGGTAGAGATAGTGCTGGGTTAGGGCTGTGTTAGGAATTGGTAGAGATAGTGCTGGGTTAGGGCTGTGTTAGGGACTGGTAGAGATAGTGCTGGGTTAGGGTTGTGTTAGGGACTGGTAGAGATAGTGCTGGGTTAGGGCTGGTTTAGGGGCTGGTAGAGATTACCAGATCGCCTTCTACTGGATTCCACTAGTTCACTCTGCCATGTCACTGCTGGAGTCTCACTTTGAAATCTGCCATTTTAAACCTTCATTTTTAAGCCCGAGACCGTTTATTTTACATACGCTGATGACTTCCCAGCTTTGACAGCATCGCTGGCTTTGTTATGAGCTCCTCTCTGCGGCTGCGCCAGTGCAGGTTACCTTGGCCGCCATATGGAATCGTGTTTGCTATTGTTCTGACATCAGCTGTTCCACAGAGATTTTGAAAATTTTACTTTATCTTCTTAAAAATAGAAAGTTTTAAAGCTACAGATACTGCCCTATACTTTAAAGCTATGTATATTATTGATAGTCATACATTTAGGTAACTTTGAACACTTTGTTTTTGTAGGAGCAGACGGCAGTCTTCATTAGTGTGGCTTTTCACAGGAATGCTTTGCATTTATTCCTTATTCTTTGCTTGGAGAGCAAATTTAGATATTTCAAAACCACTTTTCATGGGTGTGGTAAGTTTTACTTTGATAGACCTTTTAAAAGATCCTTTCCTTAAATAGGTCTCTTTGTGAAGATTGTATAAATTAGCCACTCATGAACTTTGTCAAAGAACAAACTGTCTAAGAAATAGTAAATACAGAATGTATACACATAACCCCAGCATGGGGAGGCTGAGGCAGGCGGATCAGGAGACCAAGGCCAGTGTTTGTTACATAGTGAGTTCGAGAACATCCTGAGAGCCACCTGAGCTCCTGGCTCAAACAAGCAAGCAAGCAAGCAAATGCAGCGTTGAGTTAACAGAGTAGTTAAATAGGAAAAATAAACCCCAAATAGACTTAATAATCCTGTATCCGCATTCTTGCAGCTATAAGAACAACTGTATTTTGTCTGGAATTCCTTTTAGAGTAGCAAAAGAAATAGGGGGCAAGCAGAGAGGAAGTGGCGCTCCGACCGTGTCTTCTTATGGCGCCTTCTTTTTTTTTTTTAATGCAGTTTTTTTAAAAAAAAATATTTATTTATTATGTATACAATAAGCCTGTGCAAGCCAGCACGATTCTTATGGCAGCCACGTCACTGACTGAGATAAAGACTTTTGTTTGTATTTCGTTTTTGTTGAGATGGGTCTCTCTATAGCCCAGTCTTTCTATAGTGCATGATTTTCAACCTACCTAGTGCTGTGACCCTTGAATACAGTTCCTCATGTTGTGATGACCCCAACCATGAAATTATTCCATGGTACTACATAATTGTAATTTTGATACTGTTATGAATTGTGATCTAAATATTGATACACAGGATATCTGATATTTCACCCCTGTGGAAAGGTCGTGTGAACCCCAGAAGAACTGTGGCTGTAGTGAGTTCACTCTCTTCCTGTCTCAGTTCCCTGAGTGCTAGGGCCGCAGTCAGGAGCCATCATCCCTGCGTCTGTTAGTTCTCAGCTAGAGCTAAAAATGTCGCCAGGCACACCTTTAATCCCAGCACTCGGGAAGCAGAGGCAGGCAGATCTCTGCAAGTTCGAGGCCAGCCTGGTCTACAAAGTGAGTTTCAGGACAGCCAGGACTACACAGAGAAACTTTAAAAGAAAAAAAAATAAATATACAGTAGCTTCTTTTTAAAAGCTGCTCCCACCTGGCCTTTGTGTGTATGTTCATTATCCCTAATGGATGAGGCTCTACTTGACCCTCCGGGTTTGCGCCGAGTGAGAGAGACAATAAGCTGCTGGAAGCTGAAGAAGGTGGGTGACCTTTATGCCTGGGGCTGGAGAATGTAGCTTCCTCATGCTGTCTTCCAAAGCGGACAGTCCTAGCCACCACTCACAGGCCATGCTACACACCATTCGGCCCTACTGACTGAGCCTCCGGGAGAGTCACCGTGGGCTAGCACTTACTGTCAGTGGCGGGAGAGTCACCATGGGCCAGCGCTTCTTGGCGGTGGCTCACTTGCAGTAGGAACAGAGAGAAAGAGAAAAGGCTGTGTTGTTCCAGTGGAAGCTGCCACTTCTCTTATCAGCCAGTCCCTTCATCCTGCAGAAGGACATCAGGGGGGTGTGTAGGGAGAGGAAGTATTTCTCCCTGGAGTAATGCCAAGCATCTTTTCTTCCTACATATTGCTGGGGCCAAGATGCAGCCTGTAGCTCTGAGGGAATGTGTGGGCACATGCCAGACTAGGTGGGAGGAACACTGGAAAATTGGAAAATAAAACTGGGTTAGAGAAGTGAATTAACAAGACCTAATGGTGTGAGCAGCTAAGTATAAGTGATAAGTGTTTTTTAAAGTGTGTAAGTTCTGACTGTTCACATAAACCTGTCTGTGTGTCTCCTTCCCAGGTGGAGCGATTCTGGATGCAGAGCAACGCGGTGGTGGCAGTTCTCGCTGGCCTCGGATTGGCCACCCTGGTGTCCGAGACTCACCGCGTGCTGAACTGCCATGGGACTCAGTATCTGGAGTGGCTGTCTGCAGCTCTCTTTGTAGCTTATCAGATATACTCAAATTACAGGTAACAGCGTATAGTTATTTTCCTGAAAAGTAGCACTTAGCACTAGAGACATCTGCCTGTGTAGCGTCTAGGACTCTGAAAACAGCACGTGCGGTGTTCAGTTGTGAGGTCTGACATTTGTCACTCTCTGCCCGTGCTGTGGTGTGGTGTGAGGCCATCACAAGCAAGTGGCAGCCATGCACGCAGACTCAAGAAGTACATTGAAGAATCTAGATATGTTACATTTCATAATTAAGATACCCCGAGATGGAAGATTTGGGTTCTTGTGTATCTCTTTATGTTGCAAGCTTCTCATCTTTTGAGCAATGCCAGCCACTTTCGAATTAAGTGTGTAGTAGAGTATTCATTATTTTAAAGTTAAATTCTGAAAGTTAACTATCACAGACCATAAGTATTACAGAGTTTTTCAAAATTTGTAAATAACCTTCCATTGAAATTCTCCAAGTAAACGAGAAGTTGCTAACGTACTGTATGGCAGTTCACTTCTTTCCGGCAGTATTGTCACACAAGTAGAAGAGCAAGCCTTTAAATGATTTGTTAGAGCAATTTGACTAGTATAATTTTAAAAGATTAAAGTTTCTCTTGCAGCTTAAGTTTTTAAAATTAATTCTTGCTGGGCATGGTGGCACATGCTTTTAATCCCAATTCTTGGGAGGCAGGAGCAGAAGGATCTCTGTGAGTTCAAGGACAACCTGTTCTACATAGAGTTCCAGGACAGCCAGGGCTACACAGTTAAATTCTTTAGGTCAGCACACAAGGAATGGGCTTCACTGAGCATCTTCAGGCTGTGCATCATTGCACTTTAGCCTCAAGTTCCCGTCCCCCACTGCTCCCCCCACCCCACTTAGGAGGTTCTCCTTTCTGTTAGTCTATTCTCACCTTCCTTAAGAAGTACCCCTTAGCTGGGTGGTGGTGGCACACACCTTTAATCCCAGCACCCAGGGAGGCAGAGGCAGGCGGATCTCTGTGAGTTCGAGGCCAGCCTGGTCTACAAGAGCTAGTTCCAGGACAGGCTCCAAAGCTACACAGGAAAACCCTATCTCAGAAAAAAAGAAAAGAATATCCCATGACCCCATTTCTATTTTTGTGACTTACAAACACATGCACACATATGCACACATATATTCTTGTGTATATACACATGTATACATATGCATGTACATAGATAAACATACATAATACATACACACATATGCATGCATATGTTCTTGTCTATATACACATGTATACATATGCATTTACATAGATAAACATACATAATACACACACACATGCACACATGCGTTCTTGTGTATATACATATGCATGCATATGCATTTACATAGATAAACATACATAATACATACACACATGCACACATACGTTCTTGTGTATATACACATGTATGCATATGCATTTACATAGATAAACATACATAATACACACACATGCACACATGCGTTCTTGTGTATATACACATGTATACATATGCCTTTACATAGATACACATATGTAATACATACACACATATGCATACGTACATACATACACATGTAATTTTAATCTTGGATCCACGTATGAGAGAAAGCTACAGTACTTGTCTTCATGAGTGTGACTGTTCAGTTATCATAGTAACTTACAGTTGCATCATTCTCTTGGAAATGTCGTGATTTGATTTTTATTGCTGTATAAAATCCCCGTGTATATGATATACCATATTTTGATTATCCACCTACATGTTGATGAGTTAGGCTGTTCCATTTCCTGATGAGTGTGCACAGTGCAACTACAAACACGAATGTGAAAGTGTATCTAAAGCGTAGGATAGCTGAATAATACAGTTCTATTCTTGGATTTTTAGGAACTTCCGTGCTTATTTTTTTTGTGGCTGCACAAGCTAACTTTTCAGACAGTGCACAAGGATTCCTCTTCCCTCGCATCCTTGCCGTCTGTTTTTTGTTTTCCTGGTGACAGTTCTGGCTGGAGTGAGAGAGGCGTGTAAGCAGCTGGAATTTGCATTTCCCTCGGGACTAAGGACGTTTCAAGTGTTTATTGGTCATCTGTATTTCTTCTTTTGAACACAGCACATTCAATTTATTCACCCATTTATTGATTGCGGTTCTTGTTTATCTCATGTATTAATCCCCAGCCCAGTGTGTAGTTGGTGAAGATTGTTTTCCAGTTCTGACTATTGTTCCCTTGGCTGTGCAAAAGCTTCTTAATTTCATGTAATTCCACTCGTCACCTTTTGGGATTACTTCCTGTGCTAATGGATCTTGTTCAGAAAATCCTTGCCTATGCCTATATTGTGAAGTCTGAAGTCCTACACAAAGGGCTTTGATACATCTTGATTTTGTGTGTGTAGGATAAGAAATATGGATCTAGTTTCCTTCTTCTAACACAGACATCTAACTTTTGCAGCATCTTTGTTAAGCAAGCTATCATTTTTTCAAATTTGTTATTGACAGCTTGGTCAAAGTTTGGTGGTTGTAACAGTGTGGATTTATTTCTGGATCTTCTTTCTGTCCTGCTGGTCTACCTGTCTGTTTTTGTTCCAGTACCATGTTTTGTTTTGACTGTGGCTCGGTAATATAGTATGAGACCAATATTGTGGCGGGATCAACACTGTTCTTTCTGCCTAGGATTGCTTTGATTATTCCGGATCCTTGTGCTTCTGTGTGGATTTTAGAGCTTTTATCTAATTTGGTGAAGAAAGACATTGGGTTTTGCTAGGGATTATGCAGAATCAAGTAGCTTTAGATATACTATGGCCATTTTTATTATGTTTGTTCTGCCTAATCATGAGCATGAGAGATTGTTCCGTCTTCTAGTATCTCCTTGAAGCTTATCCGAATCTGTAAGTTTTTACTATGGCGGTCTCTTCCTTCTTAATTAGGTTTATTCCTGGATATTTTTTACATGATTGTGAATGGGATTTTTTTTTCTGCTGATTTCTTTCTCAGCAAGTTCATTATTGGCATTTAGAGCTGGTAGTGTTTATATTCTGATTTTGTATCCTGAGACTTTGCTAAAAGTATTTATCAGGTCTACGTTTTCTTTTAAATAAAGAATTACGTTGTCTGCAAATAGGGATAAATTGACTTCTTCCTTCCTATTTGTGTGCCTTTTATATGTTCCTGCTATTTTATTGCTCTAGCTAAGACTTCAAGAATTATATTGAATAAGACTGGCGAGGAGTGAGTGAGAGCCCTTGTTTTGTAGATGTTAGAGGAAATTCTCTCAATTTCACCCCACTTAGTATAACATCGCCTATAGGCTTGCCATATATAGCCATTATGTTGGTACTTTCCTTCAATTCTTAATGACTTCATGGCTTTTATTATGGAAGAATGTTGAACATTGATGAAGACTTTTTGTACATCAATTAAGATGAACAATACATGTTAAGATTATTATTAAGATGATCATACAATTTCTGTCCCTGTCTCTGTACTGAATTATACTTACTGATTTGCATGTGTTGAAACAGTCTTCCATCTCTAGGGTTCAAACAATTCAGCCATGGTAACACGATTTTCTTAATGTGTTCTTGAATTCAGTTTCTAAGAATTTAAAAGATTTATGATTTTGCTTTCAATTTTGTGTATATGGGGCGATATCTGCAGTGAGCGTAAGTACCCACAGATACCAGAGACATTGGATCACCCTGGAGCTAGAGCTGTAGGGCTTTGTGAGTGTAGCACCTTATGGGTGCTAGCCACCAGACCAGGGTCCTTTGCAAGAGCAGTTTCCACAAGCTTATTGGGAATTTTTGCATCCTTGATCACCAGGGAAATTGCTCTATAGCTTCTTTTGCTGTCCTTATCTGGTTTTAGTTTGGTAACACTCACTCCTTTTCTGTCTTACAAAACAGTTTAAGGAACATTGGGTGTTAAAGATTTGGTAGAATTCCCCCAACGAATTCATATGGAGAGGGCTTTTTGTTGTTGTTTTGTTTTTTCCTTTCTCTTTCTTTCTTTCTTTCTTTCTTTCTTTCTTTCTTTCTTTCTTTCTTTTAGACAGGATTACTCTGTGTAGCTTTGGAGCCTGTCCTGGAATTCACTCTGTAGACCACACTGACCTCTAACTCCCAGAGATCTGTCTGCCTGTCTCCCAAGTGCTGGGATTAAAGGCGTGCACCACCATGGCCCGGCAACAGAACTTTTCTTGATAGTAGGATTTTTATTACTGTTTCAATCTCAGCAATTTTTATGGACATATTTAAATTTATGTTGGTAGGCCATATGGGCCTAAGAATTTTATCTATTTCATCTAAATTTTCTAATTTTTTTAAATAAGTTTTCAAAGTATTCCATGATGGTTCTCTGGGTTTAGTTGGGATCTGTGGTAATTTTCTCTTTTCAGTTCTGATTACATTAATTTCAACGAGCCAGTCCGCCACCTCTTGGCAGGTTTGCCTAGGGCTTAGCCAGTCGTTTTATAAGGGTTCTGATAATCCTGCTGTCGTTTCTATTTGATTTTAGGAGCTCCTTCATTTCCACCCTGACTTCTTAAAAGACCCACTGTTCATTAAAGAGTATAATGTTCAGTGTCCCTGTATTTGTGGCTTCTTTAATTTTTCTTGTATTGATTTCTAGTTTTCTTATACTGTGATCTGGTAGAGGGTTTTTTATTATTTTGTATTGGGTAAGTCTTGATTTATGGTCTAGATTGTGAGAAGGTTCCATGAGATGCTGAGAGGAACATGTATTCTGTGTTTTGTTGCTATGTATCTGTTACGTCCATTTGATCTGTGATGTAGTTTAACTGTGACATTTCTCGCTGGGTTTTACTTTGGATGATTATCTAGCGGGGACAGAGGATGTTGAAATCATCTTCTGTCATTGTGACTTTTATTTCCATTAATGCTTGTTTTTGAACTTGTGACTCCCCAACATTTGATGCCTGTGTGTTTACAGTTGTTTCATTTTCTTGATGGGTCGCTCTCTAATAACCATCAGCAGCCTTCCTCATCTCTTCCGAGTAATTCGGGTTTGAAGTCCACTTCACTGAACATCAGGATAGCCATGCTAGCTTTCTCCTTTTTCTCTTGTCGCTTTCATCAATTGGCCCTGTTGGTGGGCGCCTTTACCAGTGTGTCTTTCTTCAGTCACTGTGGCCTCGGCAAATCTGCTGGTGATGTTTTCCACCCTGCTCCATTGAGTTTTTCTCTTCCAACATTTCTACTTGTTTTCCTTCCCTGTCTAACAAATCTGTTTTCTTGCTGATTTTTTCTTCCATGTTGTTCATTTTCTTATGCTTTTTGTGTACTGTTTTTTTCTGGGTTGCTAACTTTTCTCACTAGGTTTGGGTTAAAGTCTTCTGTTTGTTGGTTTCTTCTTTTAGATCATCATTGTTACCAGAAAGCTTTTGAAATCTACCTGGCATTTCACCTGTCTGACTGTGAGTTCACTGGTGGAGGAATTGGGATCCCTGTGAGGTCATATTGTTTGATGTTCATGCTCCCTACATCTCTGCAGTGAATTCTTACAGAGATTGGTTTGGCTATGTCTTCTGGATTTTGGCAGGCATCTGTCTTATAGAGAAACCTACTCTCAAAGACTCAGTCCTCCGTGCCATTTAGTGAGGAGGAAACACACTGCTATAGCAGCAGCAGCAGCAGCAAACCATACAGAATACATAAATCCATGTAAAACCACTAAGGCCACTACAGCATTGCCAGTAACCTCAGACTTGAACATGACCACACTGTGGAAAATGGACAGCAAAGTAAAAAACTATCTAGAATAAGTGTGGACATACTAAAGGAAGGAAATCAAGAAGAGAGAAAAAGGTGGGGGCAAGATTAAATAAAAGAAAAGAGAAAGAAAAAAAAAGAAAAGAGAAAGAAGTGTAGTGAAGAAGAGCCTTGTGGGGGCAAAGAGAAGGAAGTAACAATGGCGGAGCTTCCTCAGTACTGAAGAGACTCGGAACAAAATCAGACAAATGTGAGAAAGGATGAAAATAAAAACATAAGAGAATGTTTTTATTTTGTTTTGTATTGTTTTTTGAGACATGATTTCTTTGTATAGTCCTGGCTGTTCTGGAACTAGCTCTTGTAGACCAGACTGGCCTCAGACTCACAGAGATCCACCTGCTTCTGCCTCCTGAGTGCTGGGATTAAAAGCGTGCACAACCACCGCCAGCTGAAAATATTTTAAAAGCTAATAACGTAAACAAAGGAGGGAGAGATAGAGGAGATAAAAAGCAAAAAATGTATTGCCCCCCCATTGGAAAATATATGTAACAAAATTAGATGGGTGTTTAAAGGGTAATAGCAAATAAAACCATTTATTTTTAAATCCTTTCTTTAAAAAGATTTAATTGTATTTTATTTATTTTGAGCTGGGAGGAGATATGTGCATGCAACAGCCTAAGTGTGGGGGTTAGAGGACACCTTGAAGGGCGTGGTTCTCCTCCTCCATCAGATCTTAGGGCACTTGGGGTCAGACTCAGGTCATCAGGTTTGGTAGCAAATCCTTTACCCTCTGAGCCATCTTGCCAGCCCATTAAAAATATTTGAAAATCCTTGAAATACAGTAAAAATTCTGCTAAGTGTAGGAAAAAAAGAGAAGAACCTTGTGGTGGGGGAATAAGGTGTGTTACAACAGCTTCTTTTGGAGAACTGGAGACTTCCACTTATACATGGGACAGGACCATTTGAACTTGTTGGCTCCTGTGTTTGTTTATGCTGTGGAGGAGTCAGTATTGAACAAGAGTCCAGTGTCCTCCAGAGCGGTCCTCACAGCAGCCATTTGCCTTCTTTGTGTATTAGGGCCCTCTGCTGGCCACACTTGGCTTTGCAGTCTGTGTGCTGGGAAGATGCCTCACCCTGAGACTGAGATGGTGCTCCCAGTGTCTTGGCAGTGTGGGACGCTGGAACAGCACTGACATGAGGACAGCAGAGGGCCTGCCTTCCTCCTTTCACAGCCTTCTGCCTGAGTCCCCTGCTGGAGGGGTACAGCAGTGGACACCCCTGGAACCTCAGAGTTCTCAGGCTCCACAATGAACAAAGATAGCTAACTCCAGATCTTGACCTCCCTGACACCTCAGGCTTGGGACTGTCAAACCCCAGGGTAATTCTGTTGATGGGCTCTACCTCTGACACACATGCTCACTCCCTCTCCTCCCCTCTCCCCACTCCTCACCATTTCCCAGACTGAAACCCAGCTTCCTGCCACTTCCCTTTCCTTTGTCAGCGGCTGTCCATCCCTCATCTTCTCCACAGCTTCCTCTCTCACCTTCTCCAATGCAGAGGCTGTGGCAGGTCATATTAAGCCTTCTGTGACCTGTGAAGGTTTCAGGGTAGCTCAGATTTTAAAAATGGCTTCTTTGTGGCCATACCCAGCCAGTGCCCTCTGAGTCATACAATATGACAAAATGGGGCTTTTTTTCGGCTGACCAGTTCGCTGGGGGGAATTACTGTTTTACCAACCCCCACAACTGGATTTGAGGCTCCTGAGAGGCAGGCTGCCCCTGATCCCATCCCACATCAGGGCGCAGAGTGACCAGAAATGTCCCGCTAGCTTCTGTGTGCTCTGCATTGTGTGCTGTGCATCATTGTGAGCTGTGCATCATTGTGAGCTGTGCGTCACTGTGTCTGTGCATCATTGTGTGCTGTGCATCATTGTGTCTGTGCATCATTGTGTCTGTGCATCATTGTGTGCTGTGCATCATTGTGTCTGTGCATCATTGTGTGCTGTGCATCATTGTGTCTGTGCATTGTGTGCTGTGCGTCATTGTGTGCTGTGCATCATTGTGTCTGTGCATCATTGTGCATCATTGTGTGCTGTGCGTCATTGTGTCTGTGCGTCATTGTGTGCTGTGCGTCATTGTGTCTGTGCATCATTGTGTGCTGTGCATCATTGTGTCTGTGCATCATTGTGAGCTGTGCATCTTTGCTTCTGCCCTTTGCTAGCGCTTTGCTGCTTTCTTTGAAGGCTTCCAGAGCTCTTCCTCTACTTCTGTCTTTGGGATAAAGGCTGGTTTTGTTTTTGTTTTTGTTTTATTCTGAACCTCCCCTTCACTGCCTTTCATAGAGGCAGTCTCCAGGGTGCCATATTATGCAGAACCTTACAACCTCACTTTAAAGACTAAGTCTCTCTTCCAGAGGTCCTGAGTTCAATTTCCAGCACCCAAATGGTGGCTCACAACCATCTGTAGTAAGGTCTGGCCTATTATTCTGGCCTGCAGATGAACATGCAGACAGAACACTGTATACACAATAAATAAATCTTTAAGAAAAAAAGAAAGACTAAGTCTCTTTATAATCCCAGACTGGAAGCTGCATAAGGAAGCCTTCATCCCCATCACCTTGTGAGATGGGCTATACATCCCATCAGTGGTCCCAAGAAGTCTCTAAGCTTTATTCAGCCCAATCTCAGTCTTTCTGTCCATCTCCTGGCTCAGGTCTTTGAGGGATGTCCAGCCTGAACACCAGTGATGTGCACAGACTGAGCAGTTTCTCTGTTTTTTCTTCTATTTGTCCCCAGAGAATGGAATAAATAGCAACTTTCCTGGTGACAAAATGTGAGCTGTCACTAGCAAAGCAAAGGCTCCTCCTCTCAGGAAGCAGTCATCGATTGCTGTTGGATTGAAAGGATGGGGCAATGCTCTGTTCTAGAAGAGCGCCTTTGACTTGTGTTACCAACCTAGTGATTCCACTTAGCACCTTCTCGGCCCAGAACGCAGATGGACAGAGAATGGCATGGCTTGCTGTTTGTTTTGTTACGTTTTGGTGCTTTTTCCTTTCACAGCCTTTTCTCCTTTCGTGCATTGCTCTCTGAACTCATTCACCTTTGCTTTGACATTAGAAAGCCTTTCTTGAGAAGGAGCTGTGCTGCCTAGTTAGCTTGGGTAGATAACAGCTGGAGCTACGGCAGCTCAGCAGTCACAGTCACTTCCTTCTCCATGTTCTCATCCCCAGTGACCTGACCACCAAGGAAAGGCCACCTCAGGAAGCCTTAAGGGGGAGAAGGTGGTGGGAAGCCTCAGCAAGACACAAGTCACACAGGTGCCATATCAGCTTTTGTCAGAAATAGCAGACTTCCGCTTGCTTTTCTGACTGTTCTTTTGGAGGAAATGGAATTAATATGAAATACCTTGACTCTACGTAGTCAAAAACTACTTTGGTAACTGGAATTGGGTTACACTGAGACAGACTGTTCGCTTTATATGGACATGATTATCAACTGGTGGAAGTAATGCAGCGGGCTTTTCTTTCTCCTCTAGTTTCTCTTAGCACCTCTCTAAATAAGCTGAGATGGGGCTGGGCATGGTCACTCATGCCTTTACTCAGAAAGCAGAGGCAGGCAGATCTCCGAATTTGAGGCCAGCCTGGTCTGCAAATCTAATTACAGAACAGCCAGGGCTACCCAGAGAAGCCCTGCCTCAAATAAAATAAACAAAAAGCTGAGCTAGTGAGCTGTTCTCACAGTGATGTACCTTCCCAGAGAGCAGTGTGGGGTACCCTGGAGCACTCCATGTGGATGCAAGGGAGGGAGGGGAGAAAAGCGTGGCCAAGAAAGCCGGCCTGTTACAGTTGTGGAAATGTGCTACTGTTTTAATTTGCTGAAAAATCTTTTTATTTAGCATTTGTGACCAAAGAACCAATAATGTGATCGATCAGTTTGCACGAAATCTCCTAGACTCCATGCCTCGTGATGCAATCATCTTACTCAGGGGAGACTTGCCAGGGAATTCTCTCCGTTACTTGCATTACTGTGAGGGGTTGAGGCCGGATGTTTCCCTGGTGGATCAAGAAGTAAGTATAAGAAAAACATCCTTGGCATATAGCAACCTTTAAACACATCACTCATGCGTGTGCCTGTGACTTTGAAACCAGTCTGGGCAAATGGTATGATTCATCCAATAAACAGACAGATAAGCTCTTTTTAAAATTATGGTTGGGTAAGCTTTTCGTAATCATTTTTGGTGGGTTTTCTATGGGGAGAAGAAATATTTTTTTTTGCTTTTGACAGGGTCTCACGGTGTAGACCAAGGTGGCCTGGAATTCCCTGTCTTCCTGCATTGACTTCACAAGTGCTGGAATTACCAATGTATACCACCATCTGTAATCATCCTTAGAATGAGGATATCACAGTCCTGTGTAGTAGGAGCCGAAATAACAACACACAAATTGTATTCTTATAAACACTACCTGGCCCATTATATCTAGCCTCTTCTTGGCTAACTCTCATATCTTGCTTAACCCATTTCTAATAATCTGTGTAGCACCACGAGGTGATGTCTTACCGGGAAACATTCAGCATGTCTGACCTGGCGGCTGGATCCATGGCATCTGTCCCAGAGAGGAGAGGCATGGCGATTGCCTAACTTCCCTTCTTCCCAACATTCTGTTCTGTCTACTCCACCCACCTAAGGGCTGGCCTATGAAAATGGCCAAGGCAGTTTCTTTATTAACCAATGAAATCAGCAGATAGACAAATGACCTTCCCACATCAGTCCTGTGTATTTGGGGCTCATTTATAACTTGTTTCTTCCTCATTTAAGCTATTTATCAATATGCTTCACCCCACAGTCAGATGTTTTTAAAAAACATCTGTTTTTTAAAAAAATCTGTTTAAAAAAAACAGCCTAGGTTTTTATGTTTAGCCAGTTCACCAAGCAAATAACATCGTACATTGGCCAGCTTATGAAAATTGAATTAATTGATATGAAAAATGTGGGCAAGTAAACATTTCATTTAAATTGGAAATTATTAATTACAACATAGCTATAGAATTTTTATGTACACTATTGATCCTATGACAGAAAAGTGTTAGGAGGAGCTTGTAAGAATGGTGATGTCTGACCAGAGTAGATGATGGTTCACCTTTTAAGACCTCTACCGAATGCTCTTCCAGAGGGTCCAGACTGGATTCCCAGCACCCATCTGTCAACTCACAGCATCTATAACTCCAGGTCCATAGAATCCAGTACCTGCTTTTGGCTTCTTTGGGCACCAGGCATGTGTGTGGAGGCAAAATATACATGCACATAAAACTGAGTTTTTCTTAAAAAAGAAGAAAGTGATTACTTTTTAAAAACTGTACTATTAAAACAGTTTTCCTGGACTGGGGGTGTAGCTGAGTTGGTAGGACTTGCCTAGCTCACACACAGAGAGTTTATTGTAGTCGGGAGTGTGTTTGTAAAAAAGAAGGAGGAAGAGGAGGAGGAGGAGAAAGAAGAAGAAGAAGGAGGAGGAGGAGGAGAAGGAGGAGAAAGAAGAAGAAGAAGGGGGAGGAGGAGGAAGAGGAGGAGGAGGAGGAGGAGGAGGAGGAGGAGGAGGAAGAAGAAGAAGAAGAAGAAGAGAAGAAAGTAGCTATTCATGTATCAACAATGGCATCTGATAGAATTATAGTAAGGTTATTATGAGAATTAACTGAGGAATATTAAGTTAATAGCATATTGCTCAATTAATGTCAATAACCCCAAGTACTGAGACTGTTGGGTAATAAAATCTTTGAGTTGTATAATATATACATTTAAAATCAATTTGTCATTTGTTAATTGAATGACTTATACAAGGTAAGTAAAATATGAGCACAATTGGTTAGATGATCATATTCAAAATGTAAACCGGAGTCTTTTCTATGAAAATACAGGATTACGTATACAATTAAAAGTGATTTTTTTCTGATAATTTGTTTTAATGAAAAGGCATGTGAGTCTAGTTGTAGTTACATTAGTTGAGATTACTGAGTTGAAGCTCAGTCAGTTCTCAGGAGCCACAGCAGGAGGATCAGGGCCTGAGGCCATCTGGGCGCGGTAGCCTACACCCTTAATTCCAGCATTGGGGAGGCAGAGAGTGACAAGCAGATCTCTGTGAGTTCAAGGCCAGCTTGATCTACAAAGTGAATTCTAGGGGAGCCAGAGTGACCCCGTCCCAACAAAACAGAAAAAGTCTGAAGCTAGCCTATGTCACCACTGAGATTGTCTTTGTAATTAAAGACCCTGCTTCAAAATTCAAACAAAATTAAAAATGTATAAGGATATGTAATTAGTTGGGGACTACTAGTAAATTCAGATAATTTATCCAAAAAGGTTTTCAGCTTTGAGGCCTAGGTTATTATATAAATGAGCTTCTCAGGGGCAGAGATTATATCTTACCCATTCTGAGTGAGCAACACTAAGAAGAGAAGAGTGTAGTAATGGTATATTTGGGTATTTGCTAGGTTATTTGGTCTGTCCATCAAAGACATTTCAACTACAGCTCAAATAATTGGAGCACTGTTGTGTGCTAGGTGCACAGAGATGAAAAGACACAGTCCCTTCCCTCTGGGAGCTCAGGCTAGTGAGGTATAGGCATAGAGCTAGACCAGAGGTAGCCGCAGGTGGTGGGGAGGTGGAAGGGCTTCCGAGGGCTGGGTCTTTGCTGGTTCTCTAAGTCTATGGTAGGGAACATCATCTGGGAGTTGGCAGACTCATGGAGGTGAGGTAGAGCCAGGGTAGTGGTCACCTCTTATGACATGAAACCTAAGAATTGTCCTTAAAGGCATAGCAGTGCATCCTTGGTTTGCTTGAGTGTATTTTTTTTCAATCATGTAACGAGTATATGTCTACATTTTAGAAGCTTTCCATGGATGTGGGTGAAGCTGATATTTCACAGCATGTACTGAGGTGTGGTTCCCTGTGGTCTCTCTGACAGATGTTGACTTATGACTGGTATTTACCCAAGATGGCAAGGCATCTCCCTGGCGTGCGCTTTCCTGGGGACCGGTGGAGCCCTGTGGAAGGAGTATTACCCAGTGGAGTGGTCACGTTCAGCCTTTATCACTTTCTTGAGATGAATAAACAGTAAGCATTCTTTTCATATAATAGCTTTTCTAAAATCTTAAGCATCTCTAAAACTGTTTCTGAAGCAGCTGTGCCTCAGCCAAAAGACCAATTTTCTACCTATTTCCCTGTCACCGGTGAGATTATCTTTGTAATTAAATTGAATATCTGTGCATAAATGAGGCCAGGCAGAAATAAATGTTATTGTTCTGGGTAAAAGAAAAATAAAGACAGATTAGCAAGAACAGCAAATAAGATCTTAGCATAATTCTGAAAAATTGGAGATGTGCCTGCCTACTTGAAATCATTGCAGGTGGATCGCAAGCAATTACGTTTCCCTCCTGATCAGCACTGTGGCCCCCTTTTAAGTAGAAAGCATTTTTTTTTTCAGGAATAATCACTGTCTAAAAATAGCTTCAGCGTTTTTATAAAGGACAAAACATTTTTATAAATAAGAAAAAGACCTACAGTTTATGCTGGCTGAGACTAAAGTAAGAGAATTGTGGATTCCGTACTTGAGAACACAAGGTGGTTTGTAGTCGAGGCCAAGAATGAGTGCGTCCTTGGAGGTGAGCTCCACACTGCTTCTGTCTGAGATGCGTGGGGTGTCATGAGCTTGAAAAAGAAGGATTTGTTTCGAGTTTTGTTTTTTTTTTCTTGTGAAGAGGACTTAAAATTTTTTTTTATGAGTTCCAATGTCAAATTATCCTTGGTAAAGACACAAAATGTAGCCTTGCAGTATGCTGCTGAGCCTGTTTTCGGTGGCTGTGGAGTGATAGGAAGGAATAGGCATCAATGTGCACTAAATTAGTATATTCAGAAGCCAGTAGCATTCCCAAATGGGCATTTTTGTTAGTTTCGTTTAATTCTGCTTCAAAAATTTTCAAATATCTGCTCTGGTACAGCTTCTGTTGGGCCCTGGCAATACACAGGTAAGTGGGGCTCGGGTCCAGATCGCAGTGGATCGTGGTCTGGTTGGCTGTGTGCAGCGATGTGAGAAGTTCTTCTGAGGAAGTGTGAGGCAGGCCAGTGAGACTTGTCCCCACTAAATAGGTTATTGACTCTGTGAGCTTAGCACTCCGGGAACATAGACAAGGATCCATTAAGTTTGCCTGTGGGTGTTCATTCAGCATTCTTAAGAAATGAGAACTGGGTGATGGTGGTGCATGCTTTTAATCCCGGCACTTGGGAGGCAGAAGCAGGTAGATCTCTGTGAGTTTGAGGCCAATCTGGTCTACAGAGTGAGTTCCAGGACAGCTAGGATTAACATGGAGAAACCTTGTCTCAAGAAATCAAAAAAAAAAAAAGGCAAGAAATGAGAGCTGGGATTGAAAAACTGGCTCAGCAGTTAAGAGGACTCGCTGTTCTTCTAGAGGACCCGGGGGACCTAGTTCGCTCCCTCATTCTCAGTTTACAATGACTTACAACCCTTAGGACAGGGATGTCCCTACACACACGCCCCTTCCAACCTCAGGGAGACTGGGATCTCTCTTTGTCTGTCCCTCTGGTTTCAGTGCTGGGAGGAGAGTGAGGATAGGCACCTGCTGGTTTGGTGGGTCCTTGATTCTGGATTCTTTCCAGGACCTTCTAGACATTTCCTCATCAGGGCCTCAGATGGCTGCTCCTAGGTTCCTCCCAGAGCCTGGCTGAATACAGCTGGAGCACATCTTCCCCAGAGTGACGGCTCTCACCGAGGCTGAGCTTCAGACAGCTTTCACCAGCCCTTGGACCAGGCAGATGAGACGACACCAGGAGTTACCTAAGTTCCCAAATCATGGAGGCAATATGTGTGAGGGGGGAAATATGAAATCCAGGCTGGCAAATTGCCTTCTTTCAAAGTTATCAAAGTCACTTTCTTTCAAATAACTTCTCACACCCTTTCTACTTAACCACAAGTAGGAAGAAAACTACTATTTAAGCTACTTCCGTTTCTAACTTTTGTAGGCGGTAAGGTTCCTAACAGTTACCAAATCTGATTAATTTAATTCCAGCCAGTATTTATTATGTGTTAACCTCATGCTGTGTAGCATTCAAAGTTAATGCAGGGACAGAGCACCTGTCCGGGATGCTGCCAGGCTTCTCAGGGAGACGTGCAAGTGCTAACAGTCAGCATGGAGATGACAAAGGAGATAGAACAGGATCGTGGGCTCACAGGGGACGGGAGACTTCATTCTCCCTGAAAATAGGAAGTGGACTCACAGGGAACGGGAGACTTCATTCTCCCTGAAAATAGGAAGTGGACTCGCAAGGAACATGGAGACTTAGCTCTCCCTGTAAAATGAGAAGGGATATCAACGAAAGCATTGCTCCTGACAGGATGCCCTACCAGTGTTCCAGGTGATAAGGTCCCTGTTTTAGAATCAGAGGCAGGAAGAGTTCTCATCTGTTTCTGTTTGTTCCTTCCTACAGTTTTCTGTTTTGTTTTATTTCACAGTAAATAAATTTCATGCACTGTACTTGGGAAAGATTTCAGTAGAACAACATGTTCACAAATAAATAAGGCTTATGGAATCCAAAATGACCTTCTGTGGACTAAAGAAATGGAACATTTAGAATTCTTTGCTCTTCTCTTTTGAATAGAAAAGAAACATTTGTTTGCATAGGAATTCATGAAGGTGACCCAACCTGGAAAAGGGCTTATTCACTTTGGCCTTGGGGTTCTTGTGATAAGTTAGTTCCTTCAAGGATTGCATTCAACCCAGAGGAGTGGATTAAACGCACAAGAAGTATCTATAATTGGACGGAGGAATACGGAAGGTATGAGCAGCAGGTGTGGTTTTTAACATATAGCAGTTTTGTATGTCTGAAAAAAAAGGCTACGTTTGGAGATATCTTTTTGTTTTTGGGTTTTTGAGGCAAGTTCTTACTCTGGAGGCTGGCCTGAAACTCAGGGTCATCCTGCCTCCGCCCCCAGTGCTGGGGTGACGGGCCTGTCACCTGCCTCAGCCCCCAGTGCTGGGGTCACAGGCCTGTCCCCTGTCTCAGCCCCCCAGTGCTGGGGCACAGGCCTGTCCTACCATACTTCTCTCTTGAGATGCCTTTTAATTTTTTATTTAGTTTTTTATTAATATCATTTTCCACCCAAAAAAGATCATAGAACATCAACAGAAAGAGATGATTTCTTCTCCTGTCTAGGGCATCAGAGGGAAGGAAGGCTGTGGGTGAGTGGGGTCTCTAAGAGTTTGGTGCAGGGCACCTTCTGCTTTCAGGCCATGACACTGCATGGTCCAGCATCCTATGTTTTCTTATGCTGTGAGCAGAAGGAACTCATGAGCTGCAGTAAGGCAGAGGAGGCCCCTCATTACTGGACGGTTTCCGCATGTGTGAACTTGCCGAACTCCTGCAGGAGTGCAGACATGTCTAGCCCTCGGGAACACAGCCCTTTCCGAGCACGTGGGTGGAGTGGAGTGTTCAGTCCCCATGACAAAAGTAGGAAGACAAGCAGTCAGTTTCTGTAAGGAAGGCTGAATCTGAGAACCTTTCCTGTGGTTGTCATCAACCTTGTCCTGCCTAGGGCATTGTTCATCTCTTCCCGAGCATCTCTACATACAGTTTACCATTACCTATGGAAAATAAGTCCCTCGAGACAATTATCTGTATTATTATTATTATTATTATTATTATTATTATTATTATTATTATGTGTTATTGAGTTAGAGAAATGGGTTATTGGTTAACAGTGTCTCCTGCCCTTGTAGAAGGCTCAGCTTTAGTTCCCGGCACCCACATGTGGTGGCTCCATAGCAACCTGTGACTCCAGCTCCAGGGATCCAAGGTCAGCTTCTGACCCCCACAGCCACCTACGCTCATGTGCATCCACCACCCACGCACATACAATTAAATAAAAATATATTTAGATTAATAGATTACTTAACATCAGATATCCTATTGTATAATTCAGGCACAAGAGAAAAGATCGTATCAGTGGGAGCTATGAGATTTTTGAGACACAGCGAGCCAACAGCACGTTGTTGTTCATAAGAAATGTTGGCAAATAGCAGTTTTCTGGATATGGTGGTGAATGCCTCAGATCCTGCATTCGGGAGACAGTCAGAAGGGTTGTGAGTTCAAGACCATCCTGATGTACATGGTGAAAATTACACTTTCTTCAGATAGCTGATGAAGAATAAATGTGCATATCATTCTTTAGCTCCATTATATTTAAATGGGTACATATAATTTTTAATATATTTTTATTATAATTTCTTAAATATAAAATTCTGACTATCAGTTGTTTGGCTAGAATTCTTCAAGCAGCCCAGCAGGGTTTAGTGAAGCTTCTCTTCACACTTGCTCTTGGCTGTGTCTTAGTGTGGCCTGTGTCTCACTTTGTCACCTCATATCTCAGGAGCAGCTGCCCAATGCCTACAGCCTCTTCCCCCTTCCTCTGCTCCCTTGAGGCCCTTGAGGCCTGCTACAATGCAAAACCTTTGGTGTGGTCACTATCAATACATCAGAAGCCAGCCTGTTTCCATGGCCTTATAAGATTGTAAAGCAAACATTATGTGTTTGTAATGTAGCTGATGGAAGGATGCTGTTTTTCTTATAACTACAGATTTGATCCATCTTCATGGGAATCCGTGGCCAATGAGGAGATGTGGCAAGCAAGGTAACTGATCTACATTTTAGTAGTTGTTGGCTGTTTTGTTTTTTTAAAAAAAAAAAGATTTATTTATTATCTCTACAGTATTCTGCCTGCATGTATGCCCGCATACCAGAAGAGGGCACCAGATCTCATTACAGATGGTTGTGAACTACCCTGTGGTTGCTGGGAACTGAACTCAGGACCTCTGGAAGAGCAGTGTTCTTAACCTCTGAGCCATTTCTCCAGCCCCTGTCAGCTGTTTTTAATATATCAAAGAAATAGCCCATGGCACTTTTCATTCTGGGAACATGGACAAGTGGAAATAAAAATAACTTACGGACAACTATTTTGTTCAAGACATTATATTGTTATGTGTGCATAATCTCATCTCATAACCCATGAAGCGCTGTAATCTCCAGTTTATAAAAGAATGAGGTGGACGGATTTCCCTGGGGCACTTAATGACAGTGATGGAATCCAAACCTCAATATAGCCTGCGGCGCCCCTCCCTCCAATACTTGTGCTCCAGCTAAGCCAGTGGAAGGAGGAGAGACCGGGTGGGGCTGAGCGGTCAAGCCACGTCTCCGTTTTTGCCATGCCAGTTGATGAGAGCATCAGTTAACACTGAGCAGAGGCCAGGCCCGGAGCTACACACGCATACGACACAGTTCCTGCTCTCACGGAGTGCAGCCCGCTGGGGAGACTTCGTGAAAAGATAACAGTTCTTACTGTGACAGTAAAATGTTGTCCTTTTCTGTTGTTCAGAGAGAGGGTCGCACTGATTCATACAGATCATCCTGTTGTTCTTACTGTGACAGTAAAATGCTGTCCTTTCCTGTTGTTCAGAGAGAGGGTCGCACTGATTCATACAGATCGCGTCTTAGTGCTACTGCTTCTCTTTGTCATTTTTTAATAACCAACAAGGGCCTGCAAAATGACTCAGCAGGTAAAGGCGCTTGTTGCTGAGCCTGGTGACCTGACCTCGATCCTGGGAACCACAGGCTGGAAAGAGAACCGACATCTGTAATTGTCCTCTGATGGCCACATTGGACATACGGCATGCAGGCTCACACAGACACAGAACATATACATGTAAAACTTAAAGTAAAATAACACTAGTAGACTTGGTCCAAAACATTAGTACAGAAGTTCCTAAGCAATACAGAGAGGTGCCCCTCATGCATATGGAGTTCATCCTTCTGCAAAAATATCTTGGTGCCCAGTCTATTCCAGAGATTATGTTCTGAGAATTGAGCTGTGGTATAAATCATTTACGTTTAAAGATTTAATAAGTATTAGATGGGACTGGAGAGATGACTCAGAGGTTTAGAGCACTGACTGCTCTTCCAGAGGACCCCGGGGTCAATTTCCAGCGCCCATGTGACAGCTCATCTCTGTTTATAACTCCAGTTTTAAGGGCCCTGACACCTTCAGCCAGACATACATGAAGGCAAAACATCAATACACATAAAAGTAAAAAATAAATAAATTTTAAAAAAGAATTATAAAAAAATATAGCTCCTTGGGCCAGCAGGACAGCTCAGCAGGTAAAGATGTACCAACATGAGTTTGATCCTCACCATCTGTGTAGTAGAAAGAGCAAACTGATTCCTGCAAGCTGTCCTTTGACCTCCATACTGTAGCACGTGTAGCCCTGTGCCCACATACACATAAAGTAAGTTTAAAACAAATCTAATAAAAATGATTTTTAAGTAAAGAAATACAACTCCAATTTAATCCTTACAAAATAGCTGGACTATAACTTGTGCCAGCATGTTTTTGAGAAAGTTAGAAAACAGCCTGAAGTTTTCAGCCTAGCCCCAGGGTCAGTACTCGCATTGAAAACCTGATAAAGATACACTCCACAATTGTTCACTGTGACCGAATGTGGGAAAGCTGGGAGACGGCCGAGTAGAAGAAGAAAGCAGGTCATTATTCAAGCAGGTATTGCTTTAATTGGTGTGCTAAACACAATTGGGATGTTTGTGTGCTCGGAGAATCCAGCCACTTTGGAAGAAGTGGTTGCACATGGCGCAAGCGATTGTGATTGGCACCTTTAGGGACACACTGGCAAACCCAGCCATTCCCCATCCCTGGCTCCTCCTCCAGAACAGTGGCACACATCTGTGGGGAAGATTTCCCCAACATCTTCAGTGTTGAGAGCGAGTGCTGAGCCTTGGGGGGCTTTGAGGAGCTTTGTGTTGAGTGAGTGAGAGCCTTGGATTGCTGTTGGTTCGGAGTTAATTTCCACGCACACAGGAGAATGAAGAATACACAGAAAGGATTTCATGCGTGCTGTGATTCTAACGAGCGTTCTTCCTCCCATCCCTAGGATGAAGACACCGTTCTTCATCTTTAACCTGGCAGAGACCACCACGGTGCCTCCAGACGTGAAAGCACAACTCTACACTCATGCATATAAAGTATGTTGCAGTCTTGTTGAAGCGCATCTGCTGGGGGTGGGGGCGGAAGTGACCAGAGTGGAGATAGGATGTGTAGCAGAAGTTTGATTCTCTGGTGTCCATCTTATCTTGAGCATTATAACGTAGTACATATGGGGGAAATATTCAATTGTGTCATAAGCAATGTTTAAGGTAAAGGGCCATGGTAATCAGAATAACGGTAAACAGAATCCTACCCCACACTGCCTATCCACTACCTTCTGTGGCAGAAGGCAGTCTGTAGCGATGGCTGAGTTAAAGGACTTGAGATTGTTTATCCTGGGTTAACCAGTTGGGCCCAGTATGATCATGGGGGCCTTATATAGGGTAAACCAGAGAGAGGGAGATTCAGGCATGGTATCCACTGGCCATGGAATGGAAGAAGGGTCTGTGAACTGTGTAGGTGCAAAGGTTCTGGAAACTGGCAAGGGAAGGAGCAAATTCTGCAGGGTGCCGGAGTGCAGCCGTGCCCATGTCTCAGCTTCTTCCCTCCGGGCAGCCTGTGTTGTTTCCAGCCAGGGTCTGTGGCTCTGCGTTGAAGCTGGAGGACACTAACAGAAAGACTTTACTAAGACAAGTTCTGCCCTGACACCCTCTCTGCTCCGGAAACCATGGGCCATGGCCGGCAGAGGACAGAGAAGAGCCACAGAAAGAGTCTGTCTTCTGACTGGCCTTGGGAATCCCAGCACCTTCCAAAGACACAGCTCCGCTCTCCTCAGGAGAGGCATGGGGAGAGGCTTGTGTGCACTGTGGTGACGAGACTCTGGTTTCCTATGACTTAGCACTGGTCTCTTCTAACACAACAGACATAGCCAGTTTGCTGTGTAGAAACAGATCCTGGTAATGATCTGTGCGCAGAGCTCAGACTCTGCATGCCTGAGCAGCCAAGTCTGTCTCTCTGGACTGCTAGGGTTCTACTCAGCCAGCACCTTTCTTGCTGCTGAGTTAAAGTAGCATGGCATCTGATTGGCATGACTTATTTTGCTCCTAAGTTTTGAATATTAACTCACTTTTGTTCATTCTTCACTCCCAGCCTTTATTGAACACCTGCTCAATATCATATATTGTGTTAGATACGGTCTTGTCTCTGCTGTCACAAAGGTCACAGGCTACAGAAAGGATGTTGAGCATAGTCCACTCCACAGTCTCGGATCGTCTCATGTGTGCTGACAGACGTGCTATGAGACCCAGGGAGCTGAGCCCGAGTGCTGGGAAGAGATGCTGGAATATCAAGATGAGCTAGCCAAATAGATGGTAGCGCTAGAAAGTGATGGGAGGGAGGCTGGTCCATAAGGAGGTGGCCCGGGGCAAAGGCGGAGTCCTCCAGGGCACCCCACTCAAGGACAGCCAGGGAGTTGATTTTGGAAGGCAGCTTGTAGAGTTCTGTCTGGCAGCTAAGAGGGTCAGGGCTTAAGCTCACTCCGACATAAATGTCAGCTGTGAGTCACCCGTGTGAAAGGAAAGCAGTGCTGAGAGGAGCTGGAGGACAGATGGGGTTTCCAAGTCTCCAAGGGACAGCCACAGGCCTGACAAGGATGCTGTCTTACAGTGGGCATTCACTTGGCTACTTTGGAGGAGATGGGAAAAGATGGTGTAATTGGTCCATGTCAATTACAAGATACTATGAACACAACCCTATTCAAAGGCACTGTCTGGTCTATCCTCATCCTACTGGGGGTACTCCTAAGTCACCCAGTGCTACCGTGGCGGTGAAGTTCCTAAAGAAGGAAACGCCATGTTCTGCTGTGCAAACTAGTCTTCCCCCGGTTCATTCATTAGGTGTTCATGCATTCCCTCTGAGAAATTCATTATCAAGATTCTGCGCAGCTGGGAAGATGGCTCAGCAGGTAATAGCTAACAAACCTGAGGACCTGAGTTTGATCCCAGAACCTACATAGCGGAAGGAGAGAACCAGCTCCCAGAAGTTGTCCTCTGAACTCCACGTGTGCACTATGGCGCACATGCGCACACACACACACACTCAATCAATCAATCAATAAATAGATGGATGTTTTGATTCCACTTGCATCCGTTAATACTATATATGTAGTTGGGAAATCAAAATTCTGAGTTTCCGTGGGCAGGATTTGGGCTATGAAGAAGGAAATTGTAAGGAAGTGTGGAGATTTTCGTCATTGCCCTTGTTGGGGATCTTGATTCTGTACACTTGATAACAATAGAATTGTTTGCACTGGATTGATGCTAAGACTGCTGTTGTTCCATGTAGAGAAAAATCCACATTAATAATGTGAAACAGAAGTTTAATTCTGCCAAGTTCTTTTTCTACACTGTCTATTAAAGACAGATTTTTTTTTTCCAGCAGCTAAATTTAGAGGTTTAGCCGCTCGGCCTGTTGAGTAAATAGCTTTCCTCCTGTTAGAAGTAAATCCTTTCCCAGAACATCTTTCTGGAAGAAGAGCGCTTTGTCCTGACACGGTGTGTCTTGGGGTCCTGCAGCATCCAAAGCCCCAGAAGCAGTTTTAGCTGACGCACGTTTGCCTCCTGCTACTGTTGTAATTACAGAGCATCCTGTATTTTCTGCATGGCCTGGCAATGATTAGATTCTACTGTAGATTGCTTGGATTTTTTTTCCTTGTGTTATTAATTCCTCTGTTTTCTGGTTTTGAAACAAGAAAATCTGTCAGGATAACAATGGAATCCCAACACTTGCTGTCTTTCAGCTTTATAAGGAGATCGTGTACTTGCAAGAGGAACACCCAGTGAATTGGCACAAGAACTACGCCATCGCCTGTGAGCGGATGCTGCGCCTTCCAGGGACAGCCACAGACCCTGAAGTCCTGCTGTCTGAAACCATCAGACATTTCCGTCTCTACACTCAGAAAGCACAGACTGACCCCCAGCGAGCAGACATCATCGCTGCTCTCAAGCACCTAAGACGAGAACTGCGAAGTCTAAGAAATAGAAAGACGGTCTGAGCCGGCGACGGTGGCTGCCCTGATCACGTTCTGCTTCCAGAGGTGCCAAAGACCAAACGCTTTTCCTTCCAGTAAAGAAAGTGTATAAGAAGAGTAGAAATTTCAGTTATCTCCTGGAACAGCAGAAATACGTTCATGGCTACAATGCCTTATGCAAAAGTGTGTTTATCTCATGTTGCCAAATTAGCATTTCCTTGAGAAGCGTTCAGAAACATCTGCACTAATGAACAGAAACATCTAAGGACCGTCCATGGTAGGTTCTAGACATGAAGGAACTGTCTCCACAGACCTAAGACGTTTGCCCCTGAGGTCTGTGATTATTGGGATTCATTCAAAAAGATAGTCTTAAAATACGCATTCCAGACCCAAGGCATTTTCCAGTTCCTGAAAGTGAGATGGTCTCTGAAACCAATTCTTGTTACACCTCATTAGAATTCCTTTTTCTTCAGTTAACTGTGATTGTTAGTCAGAAACTTTGTACTTTAAACCAAGTACGTGATTTTTTTAAACTTTGAATTTTATTGTCTTCATTCTGCCCTCACTGAAAAGGAAAGATAATTTCATGTTTGCTTCTGTCAGCTGTAGAAACAGGCAAATTAAAAGGCACTTAACATGTCCTTAATTAATTTCATATTTATGTTTTCCTTCTATTTGGATTCGCAGATCTACCCAATAATTAGGAGGTAGCTAGCTGCCCAGATGCACAAAGGGTATGGGCAAGAGCGGGGGCGGGGAAGTCGCTCCGTAAATTCATTTCTGTTACAGGCATCTTTTATACATCTTGCTAAAGGGAACCTAGTAAGAAATGCAAATAATAATAGTTCTTTATTTTATTATGACAGTTAATTAATAGCAACCTGTTTTAATGAATAAAGTCACTCGGAGTCCTTCAGCACTTCCTAAGAGGAGGCCAGCATCCGTAGGGATTCTTCCCCGATTGTGCGCTCCGAGACTCCAGGCACTATATAGGCCCTGTATAGAAATGCTCACTAATGAAGAGGGAGGGCTAGAAGCTTGTCTGCATTCAAAGATCACTGGTGAGTCATTCAGCAAGAAAAGGCCCCTTACCAGGAATAGTCACAGTTCCGTGGCATTGTACTAGCAAAAGGGGCTGATCAAAGGTCTCCCGTGGAGCTTGCATGGTTCCCTTTCATACTACGACCATAATTAAAACCACTAATTCTCTTTTAAAATGCTGCAGGATGCCATGTAGGCATCTGTCTGGAGTGTCCTTTGTGATGTCATAAGCTGTTAAGGACCAGTGCCGAGGGCTTTTGAGTGAAATGCCAGTCCTGAAGGTGCTTCAAGACAAGGGTGCCTCTGAAAGCTTGACAGGGCCTTGACTGCACAATTCGAGCTGAATTTGCCCCTTGTCAGCTGCCAGTAAATAAATCTCAAAGGGGGAAAAGCTGAAGTTTCATTACCTGATCCATGGGCCTTTGTTGGTTTTGGCATCACACAGGGGAAGCTCTTGCTCCTCCATTCTCTGGGTTTGAAGATGTCCATTGGAGCCTGCAGTGCCTGGACAGGGTTCAGAGCGGAACCTTTTGAAGAGTGTCAATAGTTGTAACAGTTCAGCTGTTAGGAAGACAAATACATCGAGGAGCTCATTAATCCGCTTTTGGCTCTCGGTGCCTTTTGCCCTTTCATCACAGCCTTATTAGGCTCATCTCGAACCAGAAGAAACCGAATTGAAGTTGTCGAGTACTAATTGGCAAAGACTTTTAATCATGGGCCAAGAACTTTCACTGACTTGAAAGTAACTTCTCCACAGGGAAGAGCCAGAAACCTGGTTCACCTTAAAACAAAGACCCGCTGGAGCTCAGTATGGTGTGGAAGTTGAAGGAAGTGCCGATAAATTGTCTAAGTCTAGCCATTCGAAAGGAATTGTGCAAAATTGTGTGTTCCACTTTTCGGGGAGAAGGTGACAATAAAATTCAAACATTTCTTAAGAAAGTCTTCCTTGGTTCAGAAGAGATTGCTTGAGCATGTGTGGTCACAGAGTTTGTTTCTGAATGTCCGGCTGCAGGTGTGACTGTCCTGAGTCCACACGTGTGTGCAGTGTTTTCAGAGCCTCACTAAGAGGAACGGTTTCTATCAGCGTCCTTACAATAGCAATGAAGGCCTCTGGAGAGCACCTACCTTTTAAACATGTGACAGCCTGTAGCCACGTCAGCTTCTCAGTGCACTTTGCAGGTGGCCTGTGGGTCATTTGGTGTCTCTGCACAGTGACTTTAGACCACTCTCTTTGACAAAGCGATAATACGTAACCTGTGACATATAAAGTCACAACCGTTTAAATTTCTTCAAACCATTGGGAAATGAAAAAGTAGCAAGTGGAGCTAAGATTTAAGGTTGGTTAACTTGGTTGGCCTGCCATTCCCAGGTCAGCTGCTGCCAAGAGCTCCCTCCCTCTCATGACGGAAGCCGACGCTCCTGTCCTTGCTGCTTTTCCTTTCCTTGGCTAGAACCTAGCATTATAAAATTAGATACAGGGCTCCTTTGGTCCAACCCTGTCAGAGGAGGGTGTGAAGGCGGTGACTTCTCATGCAGGATTTGGCCAGCGTCCCCCTCACAGTGTCCCTGGAGTGCTGTAGGTTGGCAGATCGACAGGAACCTCACAAAGCCAACTTCTGCCTGGAGTTTAGCCTGAGGAGCAAGTGGGAACGGGCAGAACTGTCTGTCTCTCCACATACTGTGGTACCCTGCTGCCTGGGCCCTGAGGTCAGCCCACACTAGAGGGCCCAAGACAGAGCGCTCTGGCTTCTGTGTTAGCTAGCAAAGCACCAAGTGTGTCTTCCTGGTGCTTTACTTCCTCTTATTTCTTAAAAGGACCTTTAAAAGTGTGTGTGTGTGTGTGTGTGTGTGTGTGTGTGTATGTGTGTGTATTCTGTTACTCAAAATATAGCCACAATAAAATTTATTACTAATGTGTTATTTTGAAAGCTTACTATAGAATTTGTAAATGTAACTTTGTTCATATTCTCAGAGTCTTTGATGAAGCTATGTGGTTAGCCACTAAGAGATTTAGTTAAAGCCAGTTTGGGGAGGTCAGGTTATTTGACTCGGCTGATAACTCGATGTCATCAGATTAGAATATGAAGAGTAGATTTTTAAATTTACATATTAAAAGTCAAACATTGTGACTCCTTAATCATACTTCCCATTAATATCCATCACCAGTTAAAATGAGTGCTTTTTAATATTCAGGAAAAAAATTTCAATTTCAAAGGTTAAAAAAATGATTACAGCGAACCCTTTTGTTTTATTTTTGATAAAAATTTCACAAATGCACTATCATAGGTGATAAGATTTTGAGCTACTCAGGTGCTGTGACTAGGTGAAGAAAATCATTGCAGACAGACCCCTAAGACATTACAAATAGACCCTAAGAGATGATTGCAGACAGACAGACCCCTAAGACATTACATACAGACCCTAAGAGATTAAAGACAGACAGACCCCTAAGAGATGCTTGCAGACAGACCCCTAAGAGATGATTGCAGACAGACAGACCCCTAAGAGATGATTGCAGACAGACAGACCACTAAGAGATTGCAGACAGACGCCTAAGAGATTGCAGACAGACCTCTAAGAGATTGCAGACAGACCCCTAAGAGATTGTAGACAGACCCCTAAGAGATGATTGCAGACAGACAGACCCTAAGAGATTGCAGACAGGCAGACCCTAAGAGAGTCACACTATTTTCAGTTATCCTCAAACTTTATTGTAGATGCAAAACCATTCTTAAGCTTATATGCCAAACAAGTGATATTTCCAGGGATGCTGGGAACATTAAAAGCCAAGATCTTGGCACAGCACTACAGAGCAAACAAAGAGTAGTGGCTTAGCTGTGCTCATGCTCAATGAAGACATCATTGTCAGGACTTTGAAGGCCTGTTTGATTTGGATCGGCATGGATGATATCTCTCAAAGGCTGGGGAGTAGTGCAGTGTGCTCACCTGGGTATAGGAAAGCATGCTGACCTGGGTATATCTTGAAATGGCTGTTATGTTTCAGCAGAAAAATAACTTCACCAATACAACATGTGTTAGAAGGATTAGTTCATGCTGTTAAAAAATAAATGTTGGGTTGGTGGGAAGAGCAGATATAGGGCCTCAAACCAAAACTGTGAATCCCACAAGCAATTCTCTGAATTTCTTTTTGACAGAACCAGTGTGTTACAGGTACAGACTAATTTTCACTCATAAAAATGTTTTGAACCCGTTTAAAATTGTGAGTTACTGAGATTGCCTCATTTCGAGATAACGGTCAACAGATCAGGGTGTGGATGGGGCCTGCTTTCCTCCTCAGTGCTCAGCTTACAGCACCTGACATACCTGACCTTCTGTCCGTGTGCCGTGACACGAGGATATGATGAATCTTAAATTCAGGTGTGATAAAAAAGATTATTTAAAAAGCCAAGAGCCCATCCTCTCATAACAGTTATTTAGAATTGCTGTCTGCTGTAGGTCTTGTTAGAGAAGAGACATGCAATAGATCAAAATGTAATACAGCTCCACTGGCTCCCCGTAGCCCCAGCCCTGGAATCAAATCTTTATGTCGGTATATGTTACATATTATAAACTGATAATATACATTATGAATTTTGGCCTTTTTATCAAAGTCAACATTCTATTTGGTAGTGTTGCCTTTGCTTTGGGACAATGATCTTGTACCCTGTAAAGATTTGTCAGCTGTATTTCTTTAATAAAACGCTGATTGGCCAGTAGCCAGGCAGGAAATACAGGTGAGGCAACAAGAACAGGAGAATTCTGGGAAGAGGAAAGACTCAGTCTGCATTTGTAACCCAGACACAGAAGAAGCAAGATGAGAATGCCTTGCTGATAAAAGGTACCAAGCCATGTGGCTAACACAGACAAGAATTATGGGTTAAGATGTAAGATATGAGTTAATAAGAAGCCTGAGCTCATAGGCCAACCAGTTTATAATTAATGCAGACTTCTGTGTGTTTCTTTGGGACTGAACAGCTGCAGGATTGGGAAGGACAGAAATCTAAGGCAACGTGCCTTAAAGGAATTATCTTGTAAGGAAATCTGTTAAAGTGGAAATTTTAGATTTCCTTCAACTAAATGAAATATTCATTTTCTTCCATAGCTGAACCACTGAAGTAGTCTCAACACTGTAGTTGTTGCTCCTTTGTGAGTCTGTGTTAAGCCTAAAGAGAGCCCTGTTTGGGGAATCAGACCAGACTTCTTGACCCCATGAGTTGCCCACTCCCTGGGACTTACATCATGGCACCCAGAAGTATCATGGAAGACAAGATGCTTGTGTACCAAGTCTTGAACCTCAAATCTGCAAGAGTGGAAACACTGAAGGTTTTGAGGACCCAAATCATCTTACCGTGTCTTCCCTCCAGATCAGCTTTGAAAGTAGAAAGGAAATATTGTGAGATTGTTGTATTAATAGCATTTTTAACGTAATTCTTTATTGATCTTTTGGGAATTTCACATCATGCACCCCAATCCTGCTCACCTCCCAGTCCTTCCATATCTGTCCCTCACCCTGCAGCGTCTCCCCTAAAAAAAAAAAAATTAAGAACAAAACAACCACTGAGTTCCTTCGTCGTTGCTGCCTCTCCAACCCCCCCCCCCCGCATTTGTGTTAGCGTCATTTAGAGCTGTGGTGTATCGTTCAGTACACCCTTTTGTCCATCAGCCCACCAGTACACAGGACCAGGCACCTTCCATAGTTACTCTAGCAACAGGCACTAAAGTGCCTTTTAAGGAATTTCTCATCAAGTGGCAGGTGGTTCCCTCATCGAAAAACTTGGGTTCTTTTGGTTGAAGATTTAAATATGCAGGTAGAAGGAAGTTTTTTAAAAATGAAAGAAAGATAAATGGGTGGATAGATGATAGATAGATAGATAGATAGATAGATAGATAGATAGTAGATAAATGATGGGTGGATGGATAGATAGATGATAAATAGATGGATAGATAGATGATAGATAAATAGATGATAGATGGATAGATATATAAATAGATAAATGATAGATGATAAATAGATGGATAGATATATGATAGATACATGATAGATGATAGATAGATAGATAGATAGATAGATAGATAGATAGATCCGAAATTAAGAGCATTTGCTCTTGCAAAGGACCTGGGTTTGGTTCCTAGCGCCCACTTGACAAGTTGACAAGTTGCAGCAGTCCATAATTCCAATTCCTGGGATCTGATGCCTTCTTCTAACACCCACACCAGACATGCACAAGGTGCACTTGCATACATGCAGACAAAACACTCATACACATAGAAATAAATCTTTGAAAAATAATTGTATATGGAAGAACAGAAAAGCAAAGCTCAGTATGAAACAATGTGGCTCCGTATGGAGAGGGTTGTGCCTGGTGGTGGTTCTTACTCCGCTGGCTGTGTTGTAAGGCAGCACCTTCACTTCCTAGGACTGCTTTTGACAGCACCGTTTACCTGTGAGCAATCAGAACATGAAACACTGAACTGGGCACTCAGCTGCCATGGCAGGTACAGTCTTTCGGTGTACAGGGCTGTGTCTAGCTGGAGCTGCTGTCAATCATAAAGTTAGCTACAGTCAGGGCTGACAGCTGTCTTCCTAATGAATAGAGCGCACGCCTGAGAAAGCGTCTGAGCTAGCATAGAGGGGGTATTTCATAAAACTAGGTTCACTCTGTGCATATGCAAATGTATGTATGACATCATACTAAATGTGGGTGTAATAGTTATATCTAAATGTGTAGATTGCATTGCAGTATAGAATTTACCTCTCTCAGAGTATGATGGTACATATCTGTAATCCAAACACTCAGGAGACCAGAAGTAGAAGAATCGTGAGTTTGAAGCTAGCCTGGGCTACATGGCAAGGACACTGACTTCAAACTAAGAATAGAGTCTATTTTTTATTAACGGTCATGGTAAAATAAACCTGTTTCAAAGATACTGACTTTGGGAAACTTAATGCCAGAATGACTTGTAAGAGATCATTAACTGCAGACCACCACAGCTTATCCAGCCACCCAAGCTAAGAGTGGTACTTCTCAACTGTAATCCCAGCACTAGGGAAGAGGCAGGAGGCTCACCTAAAGTTGGAGGCTAGGCTAGGCTATGTAGTTCCAGGCCAGCCTGCACTAAGAGTGAGACTCTGTCTCATAAAAACAG